AGTGGGAAGAAGCTACCCCGGATTTCAATGCCAAGAACGCAGAGTCCAACAGGCTTATAACAGTCTTCTATACTTCGACCGCATATATTCAAAAAGCAAGTATAGTTCGTCGAGTGTTCCATACATCCAGCATATGCTAGTTACCGAATTGGGACAGAGGTACAGAGTACCCGTGACTGATAACGCACTAAACCCTTTTGGGACGCCCACCCCGTCTTCAACGACCGCCTCAACATCATCATCACCAGCATCATCATCATCATCATCGCTTTCCCTCTTCCTCCTCATCCTTCTTCCCCGCCCCTTCAACAACTCCATATTGACAAAACTCTAAGCTATTCTTGTCTACCGACTATCCCCTTGCCAGTTGTCACCGCTTTGTCCCGCTCGTGACCACATCGTTGTCTCTGTCGTGATCGCCTTGCTCCGCGGCTGACGAACGACCGAACCTGCCCGCCTGACCTCAAACCCCGGACTATCGTTCATCTGCAGTTCGTCGGTTTATTATTCGCGCCAGGTGTTTTTACAATACAATTTGATTTTTATAGCCACTTGGGCATCATCCGTACCATGTCTGAACCCACGAGCGCAAATACCCCGAAGCCTAGCAGTAGCGTCAAGCTGGTGCTTCTCGGAGAAGCGGCTGTTGGAAAGGTATTGTATTGCCCTTCCTCTGTGCTTTCGGGTTGTACATGCGTGACAGACGGGCTAACGCACGGGAACAACCTAACTTGGAATAGTCCTCGCTGGTTCTGCGATTCGTCAACAATGACTTCCAGGAGAACAAAGAGCCGACCATAGGAGGTACCCAAGATTCTCCCCCCCCCCCCCCCCTTGCGCAAATGATGTTCATGCCCACTGCTCTGGCGGATCCATGAGATGAAGTAATGTTCCGAGCGCCAGCTAACATTGCCTGTGCTTTGACCAGCTGCCTTCCTTACCCAGAAATGCTCCCTCCCCACCCGCACGATCAAGTTCGAGATCTGGGATACCGCCGGTCAAGAGCGATTCGCCTCGTTGGCGCCTATGTACTACCGTAACGCACAGGCGGCGCTTGTTGTCTACGACATGACCAAGCCTTCGTCGCTTACCAAGGCCAAGCACTGGGTCGCCGAACTCCAGCGGCAAGCTAGCCCCGGGATCGTCATCGCCCTTGTCGGTAACAAGTTCGACCTGACAAATGACGGTAGCTACGAGGCCGCTGGCGAGTCGACTCCGGCCGAAGGTGGTGAGGATGAAGCGACTAGCGACGCTAGCGACGAGAACCAGGCTGAGGAGGCTACCCCCGGTGATGCCCGCAAAGTGTCGACTCAGGAGGCCAATGCTTATGCGGAGGAAGAGGGTCTGCTGTTCTTTGAGACCAGTGCCAAGACCGGTGTCAATGTGGCTGAGGTTTTCACGGCGATTGCCAATGCGATTCCGGAGAGTAGTTTGAAGACTGGACGGGGCGCCGGTACTGGCCAGACTACCTTGGGTGGCGGACGTCCGGCTGAGGACACGAGAGTGAACTTGGGTGAACGGGCTGCTGCGACGCCCAAGGAAGGCTGCGCGTGCTAAACTGTTTGATGTTTCGTGTTCTGTTTTGCTTCTAGATTGCGGTATATCCATTTGATGATTCGACGGGATCTCATTGTTGTTATAGCTCTGGCCTGGGCTACAGTGTCTGGAGGTGTTTGAGTACCCGAGTATAGTTTTACTTCTGCAGCGTGTTTATTATTTCTAGAGCGTAAAGGTATTTTAATACATTCTACTGAATTCGTTGGAAAGTAGTAAAGATGGCTGGCCAATTAAAAAGCACGAGGGCAGACAAGTCACGGGACAAGCCTTCCCCTAATCGGACATACCGCGCTAACCGGAAACGGCCAAGCGTGAGGGCTAAGCGAGAGCGCCGCAATTCGGATCCCACACGGGCAAACCACCGCAAATTGGGACAGGCCGTCTTGTTACTACTCAATCCTTCTCCCGACCGACCGCAGAATAAAGGAAGCAGCAGCCCGTCTTCTCCGTCCCTCCTCGACCGACGACTGCAAAAATGGCTGCTATCAACAAGATCGCCCTCAACTCGCCGTCGAGGCAGAACCCCTCCGAGCTGGAGACTGCGATCGCCGGCGCTCTCTTCGACTTGGAGAGCAACACACAGGACCTGAAGGCTACCCTTCGGCCTTTGCAGTTTGTCTCTGCCCGTGAGGTAAGACTTTTACGCTTTGCATACTTGCCAGAATTCTATGTGGGGATGGGGATATTTTGCGCGTTGGTTGGGGATGTTGAATTTGGATTGGGAAATTTCTGGGACAAAAGCATTCTGGCTTGTGTGGTGGATGGATGGTCAATTGCGTTCAAATGGAATCGAAGAGATGGATTGGATTTGAGCATCGAGCATGGCATGCGGACAGTGTCTGACTGACTTGATTACAGGTCGAGGTCGGCCACGGCAAGAAGGCAATCCTCATCTTCGTCCCTGTCCCTCTTCTCCAGGGCTTCCACAAGATCCAGCAGCGGTACGATACACCTACAGCGCAAGCAAAGTGAAATTGCAAAAGGAACGACAAGAAAACTGACAAGAACACGTTAACAGCCTCACCCGTGAGCTCGAGAAGAAGTTCTCCGACCGCCACGTCCTCTTCATCGCTCAGCGCCGCATCCTCTCCCGCCCCAAGCGCTCCGTCAACTCGCGCACCAACCAGACCCAGAAGCGTCCCCGTTCCCGCACTCTGACCGCTGTCCACGACTCCATCCTCACTGACCTCGTCTACCCCGTCGAGATCGTTGGCAAGCGCATCCGCACCAAGGAGGACGGCAGCAAGACCATCAAGGTTGTTCTCGACGAGAAGGAGCGCGGTGGTGTTGACCACAGACTCGATGCCTACGGCGAGGTCTACCGCAGACTGACCGGCCGTGCCGTTGTCTTCGAGTTCCCCCAGAGCGGCCCCGCTGACTACTAGATTTGGTACATGTCGCAAATTTAAAAAAAAACAAGGGTTTATGAAAATTGAAAATGTTTTTTTTTGCATTTGAGGACAGCCAATTCTATATCTCTTTTCTATCTGGGTTTGGAATGAAGGAGCTGAGGGGTTTCGTCGATTAGACAACGAAGAGGGAGAAAAAAAGGAAACCAAGATGGGACAAGATAATTCATTTTATTGTACTTCTTTTTCTTTTCTCTTCATGGGTAGCTGCTTCGTCTGGTTTCGGGTTTAGGGTCCCTGAGATGTGTGAAGGGTGTGATGTGATAATAAAAATATCATGATCTCTTTTTCTTTACTTCTTTCTCGCTTTACTTTACTATCTACTATTTGGAGGTTTCAATAGCTCCTACGCCATACTCCGTACTGTGACAGATACTTTGCCCTAACTACGATCCAGTCACCTCCAACCTTACAGCCTACAGCCTCTATAGCCAAAGCAATTCTCGTGTACTGGTTTCCTTATTTTCTCGCCGTGTACTTTACAATTTCCCGGTCCTTCAACATCTATCTTCGCTACTTCCTGCCGTCCAGGTATCGATAGGGCATAGAGACCACCAAGGACCAAGGGTAAATACCAAAAGAACAGAGGAATAAACCGAGGAAAAGAAATAAAACAAAGGCAAGACAAGGATGACAGAACGAACAACAGAACCATTCATCCAACCAATCTCCTTTCAGATCCTCATTGACCGGGTAATAGCTTTCCAGATATTGGGCCCTCCGTCCAAACATTGATGTGCGCGGTACACTCCAGAAGTGCCTTGAGTTTCTGGGCGATGCTGTTGTTTGTCAGTGGTTTATTCGGGGCAGTTCTGGCCGTCTTCTGATACTCATAACAGTGGGATATGATGGTCCCCCGAATTGCGTAACGGCTATAACGCCGGCTGTGGATCCGAGAGCATCCATACTGCCCGCTATGTCTACACGGAATGTCTTGGGATCATTATGGGTTGAATGCGCATCTCCATATTTGCTCTTTTAACGCGGGATACAAGGTGTCGTCGAGGTTAGAGGCCAGTGGCCACGACGACGGCGACGGACGCGGAAATCATGAATGAAATATCGTTCCATTCCTGAGCAGAGGCATTTGAGGGACGTAAAAAAAAAAAAAAAAAGGATGACGATGGCCCTCTTTGGGAAATCGCTGGTGACCACATCAGCAGCGCCCATTGGCGAGCCGGTCTTCTTGCCCCGGAGCGACATCCACAAGCCAAAGAATGGGGAGTTCAGGTCCTCAAGGGTGCCGTGGGGCGCGAGCGCCTTCAGGGCGAGACTTTTCAAACTTTGTAGATTCACATAGAACTGGCATCTATAGCCAAGCATGGCTAGAGCTCAAATCAAAGCACCGCCTGTTCCAAAGTGCTAGCAATGTAGTACTCAAAGTAAGTGGACAAGAAGTCCCGAGATTTAAGCTTGTCCGTGACCGTTTGGAAAAAGTGGATGCAGTTTTGATGGCCGCGTTTAGGTACGAGACGTAACAAACTTCGCGTCGTGCCAACTCCTTGAGAGCTCTCGTTTGCCGGTCCCCATGGGCGCAATCAGCGACGTGTATGGTGCCAGAGATTCAGCTTTCCATAAGCTAAAGCGCTGTTGGATAGTAGCCCAGAATTTCTCCACGCAATTCCCTCTCTGGCGTAGAATCATCTCTCCTTCCAGACCAGTGCACAATTTCAGCATAGAATGCGACGAGTTCAAAGACTCAAGACTCGTCTATCAGCACTTGTATAGCAGACAAATCTACTTAAGATAGACAACCTGACCCTGTATCCATGGTTCCAAAATGTTTGAGTTAATAGCGTCATTTATCCCATCAGGTTCCTGATAAAATAAAAAAGCAAGTCAGCTGAAGCCCGCGTAAAACATTCTGAGGGCAGAAATACTGCGTACTTACCTCGTCGCTCTCTTGATTGTAAAAAGGTACCGCTATATCAATGACGTGGTATGAAAGAGACGGTAGAAGGGTTTGGACGCTGCCTAAGGTTGTCGCCTATCGCCTTCTTTCCAATGCTAAAGATTGACCATCAATCACAAAAAATGAAGGATTATCTTTACGCACCCCCTCGACGGTGCAGGACGATCGAGATCATCCACGACGCTCTAGCAAAAGCTGGAAAGATTAAACCTAGCAGACAGCGCAGATTCCTGAATCCCAAAGAGGCACAGAAACTGAAAACAAAATGGCGTGAGTGCAAGCACGTGAATAAGTTTCTTGCGCTGGCTAAGCTGCACCGGTGTAACTTCTTGAATTATCAATACTCCATGAAGGTCTATGAAGAGGACCCAGCTTGTGACATGACAAACCAGGACTATATTATACAGGAAACAAGATGCTGTATGCATGGTGTGAGAGAACTATTGCGCAAAAAAGAGATGTCCTTTGGCGTTCAATGATCAAAACATGCTAGTGTTCTGTCTCCTAAAAGACTCGACGAATTGGTGCTTGCCTATGTGGAACTTAGCCAAACCAGCAATAGACCTGGAGGCTTTATTGACGACGATGAGTGCGATATGTATTGGCTCCTGACGAGACGGTTTTATCCAGCGGACAAACAGCGAGCACAAGCCATCATTTATCCTGATGGTCGGCAAGGCAGATTGGACGCGTAGGTGGATTTCCAAGTATACTCAAGTATATGAGCATGTAGCTTTATATAGTGGAATCCATTATGATCTCGATGCTGCCTTCTCAGAGATCCTCTTGGCCGTAAGCAAGCGAACAAAGAACTCGCACACCTAAATTTTTCATAACACGTCCTAATTTTCTGGCAAAGCAATCTTGCTGCCTTTTCTTAAGATCTTTTTTCTTTCTGTCACTTTCTGTCCCAATACAGCAAACATCATGACAACCCAACTGCGTGGATCGCTCTCATCCCATCAAGGAAGACGGACATCCTGCCAAAGGCTTCTGGCCAAAGTTCGAAGACTGAGAGTTACTGCGACCTCCTTCCTCCACCCCAAGAAAACGATTCGCGACTACAATCCCAGGCAGTAGCGTGCTGCCCAGACCGAAACATCTTCACAACGCGACCCAGGACAGCAAGCAGACAACGCCATGACTCCAAGCCCCGCAGCCCCTACTCCTCCGACGATGTCTCGTAAAGAATGCCTCAAGCGTAGAGGAATTTGGCGAGCTTGCCGGGTGGAGCTCCCACCATGTCAAGCTCATAAGGGCTTATGGGCGGGAATACATCAATTCGTTTCGGTTCCAGTACGAGGACAAGGGCTACCTGCCTCCGCGGGTCAATTGGGCGGCTGTTCACGCGCTCAAAGGCATGTCTCGGGGTACTTGAGCTCGCCGCATTCCTTGCGGAGACTATAAAGATATGCATTTGTCTGTGGGACTTCAAATTTGAAGAGCATCACGAGCCCCTCCGTGAGCTTTATCCGGAAGGCATGTCGTTGCTGTGGTAGCCGTGTGGAGGAAATGTTTTAGGGTCTGATATTGATGGAAGATAATACGAATGATGATCAATTTAGCTGCCCCAGTCAGGAATTAATGATATTCAAAAAGCGACAGATATCTCCACATTTCTTATCCTCTTATCCTCCAGTAAGCCTATTCATTCACCCACGCATCCAACCGGCCTCCCCGTGCAATGGGCTGGATCCGCTGCTTATCCCCCGGCCAGAGGCCTTTAAGTATAAAAAGATACACATCGCACTGGTCACAGTCAGAGCCGCTATATGGATCATCAGCTACCTTGCTGAGTTCCACAAATACAACAACCAGTTCATCGACTTCAGATGGAACAAGGGCAAAGAGACTTGGTCATTCAATCCCAACTGACATGCACTTCTCGAGCGTGATGTTGCTCTCTTATTTCTGGTGGATGTCCATGAACAGCTCAAGCCTGAGTGCATGTCGAGGACGCAGTTTGGATAGGGCAATAAATTCCCTGACATTCTTGCATGAGCGCCACTTGGCTTTGAGCTTTTGAGCCTCTTTGGGAGTTAAAAATCTGCATTTGTCGCTGGGTTTGAGAGCCCCGTATTTTACTAGAGCAATGCGGATGGCTTCGATTGGCTTGATTCGTATTGGTTGAGCGTAAAGGTAGTCCCTGGATGACAATTTGCTTTTCTTTTCTGTAGTACTATGATATACCGATACAGCACAAGAAATAATCAGCAAATTGTTGAGTGTAGGCAACCATAGACTTAGGCAACTCTCTAAGACCAAAGCTACGTTATTAAGCAATATGTTCCAGAATGCCAAAGACACATCCACCCGCGTCCGCGGCGAACTATGGCCTAAATACGCTGCTTGTTCCCCAGAGACATCTTGGTATACGATGATAGACCTCGCACTGATCTTCTTCGGCAAGCATATAGCCCGTGATCTTGCTAATCTCAACATAACCAAGCAACAAATCATCCACCCGAGAGCTACAGGCAGCAGTAACATCGCGGTCCGCGACAACTTGCCACTCTTCACACCAATCTATCCCTGCCAATAGCCCTTCCTCCTGCAGTATCCCCCTCACGTGGCTCAAATACCCGCTGGCTTCATGTATAATGAATGATTCGAACGAGGGACCACCGAGTCTCTTGAACTCCTTCATGCCATGCTCCAGTATAAACGCGACCCGGGAGCGTAGTTTTGCTAGGATGACGAATTCTTGTACGGTCTTGCCTTGGTGCCATTTTTATTTAAAGTTTTCGGCTTCTTGGGGATTGAAAAAGCGGCGCTTGTCACTGGGATTTGCGATTCCGGCTTTCACGAAGACATCGCGGATGGCCTCGAGGGTTCTATTTCGTCGGGGTGGTGCGTAGAGGATTTCTGCGGGCGACACGTTTTTCTTTTCTTTTCTTTTCTTTTTTTTTTTTTTTTGGATCAAGTAGTAAGTGTTAGAATGGTGCCCTTTGATTTCTCTTTGGAGGTCAAAACGAAGGAGAAAAACGAGAAGAAAACATGTGACCTCAGGCAACCTAGGGCTGCCCACCCGAATAGGCTTAGTAGATGACCATGTCGGAGCTGTTATTGGTTCGTTGTAGGCAAATCTACAACTTGCCAAGACAAGGTCAGGTGCGCGTCATTCACAGCCTATAGAAGATGCCTTGCTATAATGGCTCTACGTTCAAGAATGCATCCAATTTCTAGTTGCACCTCATTCAGAAGATTCTTGAAGAGAAGGAATCCAGCAATGATACCAATATCGAGCTTGTGTACACAGATATCAAACCCTCTTGGGCAGTCGACACAGTGAACTCACTGTAGAGGAGACTTGTGTGCTTGTAAGCCAAAAAGTCTCCCCTAAGCCCCTACGATTGCTAACTACTTTAATTCTTGTACAGCAAGCATTACAACCCTTCTACAGAGATGTTTCAAGTACGAACCAAGTCAACTCCCCTCCACAACGCAGCGCAAGAATGGCTCTCGCTCCCAAAAAGCATGGATCAGTACAGATGTCCTTACACTGGATTAAAGCAATATGTTCTTCATTACTTCCAATTCAGATAGGTATCCTTTCCCGATTCCCCAGAGACACCATTCTGACATGCAAGACAGTATTTAGATTCTCCAATGGCCCGTGGGCTGATACCATGAAAGCCCCTGATATTTCCATCCAATTGAGCACTAGTGGCTTACCACGAGTGACGTTCGAGTGCGGCTTCCCTGAATCGCACGATATCCTTCAAGACGACATGATAGATTGGCTCATGGGCGGGGGTGGGGCTGTTCAGGCTGTGGTTCTGGTGAAGTGGAAACCATGCCAGACTACCATGACCGTTCGGGGAGACGTAGAGCTCTACACGCGGGATACCAACGAGGTTCTCTGTTCAGAGCAACGTTAAGTATGAGAGTCCTTTTGAGTTCAGCATAAGGCAGACTAACTGACAATATGGTTTGAAGCAGGTGTTCCCTGTGCCGGAAGGACTAGGAGAGCGGCAAGTTCTGCGACTCAACCGCCAGATGCTTTTCGGGGGTGATGTTGCGCCAGGCCGCGGGGAGGGTGACGTTTTTGGTCTTGATATCCAGGTTCTACGAACGGTGCAGCGATTTTAATGGCGAATATGGGCTACGCGCCTGCATGAGAAGTTGGTGGATCGTATCATTGGGCTCAAGATATATAGCATCAATATTTTAAGCAAATATAACAAAGGGGTATGAACACGAATTGGTATCGACAAAACAAAGCAAAATTGACATAGATCACATAGATCAACCCTCCAAATTCGGCGAAATCCTCCCCACCCCCAGAACCATCCAATATGCCAACTCCCTCTTAACAGTATCAGAACTCTTACTAACAGACTGCTCAATCTGATTCTCCGAGTCCCATTCCATCCTAACAAAGATCGGAATCTCAAGCACGTCTTCATCCGGCTGGAGCTTTTCACTGGGGTCCTTGGATTGGCCGCTCCAGTTGAAGTTCTTTTCATCGATGCTGTCATCGTCGTCATCGTCGTCGCTATCGTTAAAGTCGTTATTCGCCCTAAAGGCACGACGACCACCACCTGGTAGCGTTCCTGGAACGACTTCTATTGCGACTGTTGTCCAGTTTCGACCTTTGTCCCAGACTTTTCCTGCCTCTGCGACTTTCTCGTATCCGATGCCTATTGCGCCGGAGCGGGAGGAGCGCTGTTCACCTGGTGCAGTGCCTTGTAGGGCTTCGTCCCAGACATCGCTGTTAGCGCCGATATCAAGTTGCGGGCAGAGGATTGTGACTTTGGTGCCTACACGGCCTGGTGCCACGGATGGTGTGGCTAGGGTCACTCGAACGGGGTCGAACATGTGGTTTTTCAAGGTGAGGAGGAGCTGGACTGGTTTTAGAGGCGGTAAGGAGTCGAGATTTGGAACCGTTGGTGCGGTTGTGGGATAACCTGGCTGTGGTGGAGAGATGGTGAGAGGGCGTAATGTCGCGAGAGGGATGTAACTGAGGGCGATCAGACGGATACGGAAACGGGTTGACTGTGGTTTGAACTCGGGTTTGACGAGAATGTGCTTGCAGGACTTGCAACGTTTAGAGCGCTTGGTTCGAAGCAACACAGGCAGGGGGAGAAGATCGTCCGCGAATCGGGCGTCGGGGGGCTGGAAGGAACGTTGCTCGACGGAAGCGACACCATCCCATCCGCACTCGTCGGAAGCCATACGTCGGACCACCGCATCTTCTGCACCAGGCGCTGGGACCATAAGACCTTCGCTTGCCGTGAGGGCCTCTCTCATCACTGGAGGCTTGGACTTGGGTTTCTTGTTGTAGAGGCTGCTCAGCCGGGAAGACGAGTTGTAAAGCGACATGATACGGTTCAGGGCTCCAGGTGAAGCAAACCCACCCGCGAAATCCGTCCCTAAAGGGTCATTAGGCGATGTACTAGTCTCCGCGATCTGGTTCCTGTAAAAACCCTTCAAGGCCGCGAATCTAGCATCTGCACCAAGAGGCTCTGTAGACTGGTCAGGTCCTCCATCCTCAGTGGCCGAGAAGTGCTCATCAATGGAAGCGTAGGTGGATAAAGGCGACTTGAGATCACCCAAAGATCTGGACATTTGCCTCCCTCGAGAGGTCGCGTCTGTCATCTTGGAGAGCTGAGTTCGGATGTTCGTGGGCTTGTCGAACTTGATGCCAATATCCAGCGTCGTCCACATGCAATATCCGCAGGACAGCACCCAGGGACCTTGCTGAGACCCGTTCCCTGTGACATTCTCCAGCGTGCTTACTGACAAAGGCGCAGTGCAAATAGGACAGTTGAAGCAATTTCTCGCGCATCTGTAATCGTCCACACTTAGCCGAGACCTCGTTTCCTATCTCTGACGACTAACTCACCGATTACCCTCACTCCGCACCATACTACTCGGAGTCTCGAACAGACAATTCGGACAATACCAACACACAATCTCCTCCGTTATACATCGCGGACACTTGATCTGATGGCAATCTTCACAGTAGAGAAGCTGTTCCGGAGGGTAGAGCGAGAAGTTGGAACGTGGAGATCGCGGGTCGAACGTCTGTTCCTCCTCTTCATCCTCCGTTATCGTTCCCTTTTCGTCTGTCCCTGGAGCATCGGGGTTCGCTTTCTGGGGGGACTCTCTCGATCTTCGTTTCCTGGCCGGGTCGGGGACTGGAGAATCGGCGCAGGGGCAGGAGATGTATGTATATGGAAATGGGCGAGACATATCGAGTCAATCCGAGTTATTCTGGCTACTGCGTTCCGAGCGAGGTCGAGCAAGCGATCACCGTGTTGTCTTTGCTCCGCCTGCGGGGTGTTTGGAAGCGGTCGCGGACGAGAGGTTGCTCTGTAATTGTCCGGACAAATGATACGGATAATCAACAGATTAAAAGCAGCTATTCAATCTGCTGACACTGTTAGCTACTGCCAATCCACCTCGAAGTATAAGAACAATGTGGACAGATTCCACCAGACAAGTACATAGGTGACTTACTGTGAGACCAGCAATCCCTCCAATTGACAATCAGCACTAGGTACTCCTATTGCAAGAAAACTCCAGCCATGCGCAATTATGCAAATGAAGCCAGTTCTTTTAAAGTAAAGCGCACAAACGCCCACAGCTGCTTGCGGTGTTGTTGACGGCAACGCGTGAAGAAGAGCGGAATGATTTCTCCGCCGACGTCAGTCATTCCTAACTTCTTCTACTTTGACCGGATTTCTCTCGAACAACACCCACGCTACTTTTTATGCGAAGACTCAAAATGCGCTGAATTGCTCAATTGAAACAAATACAGCATCTATCATCAAAATACAACACCATGTCCCTACGCCCTCTCTTCCGTTCAACAACGCTCGCCCGCCGCAGCTTCACGGCCGCGGGGAGGAGAAGCTATGCCAGCCAAACGCCCGGAAACCCCATGCTGGAAGTCTTCAATCGCAAGTCAAAGACCATGCAGAAAGACCGCGCAGCTCGGAATGTGGAAGAGGGCCGGAAGGTCGACTACATCAAAGACGAAGTGGCGATGCGCTTATGCGAACGGTTACTGGTACTTCTCTCGCAACCAATGTCGGATTCAATAGCTAATGGGATCCTGTACAGGATATTAAACGGGAGATACCAAACGTCCTAGACCTAGGCGCCAACAGCTGCAACATCGCCCGCGCCCTTACAACCGCAACCCCAGACCTCGTCTCCCCAACCGGCGAATCCCCACCTCTCTCCGAACGAATCTCGCAACTCACCTGCGTCGAGACCTCCAAAGCCCTCCTACACCGCGACACAGATCTCTCCTTTAATAAAAACATCGACATCAAACGCGACGTCATCCCAGACCTCGAATCCCTCCCCTACGAACCCGACTCCTTCGACGCGGTCCTCTCCTCGCTCTCGATGCACTGGGTAAACGATCTCCCCTCGTTGCTAGCGCAGGTGAGCACGATTCTCAAACAAGACTGTCCGTTCATCGGGGTGATGTTCGGCGGAGACACGCTCTTCGAGCTACGAACGTCACTGCAGCTCGCGGACATGGAGAGACGGGGTGGCGTGAGTCCGCATGTATCGCCGTTAGCGGATGTGCGGGATGTCGGGGGCTTGCTGAATCGGGCTGGGTTTAAGATGTTGACGGTGGATGTGGAGGATATCCTTGTGGAGTTCCCGGATGTGTTTGCGCTGATGACGGATTTGCAGTCGATGGGGGAGAATAATGCTATTTTGCATCGGGAGTTAGGGCCTATTTCGCGGGATGTGTTGCTTGCGACGGAGGGGATTTATCGGCAGTTGCATATGGAGGAGGGGATGAGGGGGATTCCGGCGACGTTTCGGTTGATTTATATGATTGGGTGGAAGGAAGGGAAGGGTCAGTCCCAGCCGTTACAGAGAGGTAGCGGAGATGTTAATCTGAAGGATATCTTGGGAGGAGGAGATTTCGAAGGCCGGTAGTGTCAAGCAATATGTATAATATAAAGGCTAAAACATACAAAACGGGATATCATCCACAAGTGTTGCGAATCCACAGCCAGTACTATGAAGTAACAGTAACAAGAAAAAGAAGCCTGCTCCTAATAATCGTCTTCGCAGACTTAGACAGTCCTCCGGTCCGTCATGACACGAACAATCGCACCAGGCCCGGTAAGTTCAACAAGCTTCTCATGCCAGTTCAACAGCACGCTCATCTGCTGGCCACCACCACCCTCGCCGAAATTCCGGGTCTGAATCTGCGAGAATCCTCCCCCGGTACTCTGCGGAGAGAGCTTCCGCGGCGACTGAGAACCACCGCTCGATCCAGCCGACGCGAATCCCTTGTACCTGCTTCAGTTAGCCAGCCATTCCCTCACTAAGCCCCCCTAGTAGCAGAGAAAGAAAGGGAAAACGTACAAATACTTCATCAAACAATCCGCCCTCTCCGACCCCCCCTCACCCCCAATAGCCCCCTCAAGAACCCTCGTCATCTCCGCCTGCCGAATCCCCTGCAACACCTCCACCACACTCGCCATATGCACCTCCTTCGCGCGATCGTCTCCGCCCAACGGCGCCGTGTCCAGAACGTACCGCATCGCGCCCTCGGGGTCCCCGCCGCGCAGCAGCTGGCGCACTTGGCCGGCGACACCGGCGGCATCGGAGGAGGAGAGGGGTGGCGGGAGGGTGCCGGGGAGGAGGGTTTCCATGGGGAAGTTGGAGGAGGACTCCGGGTCGAGGATGTCGATGTTGATGGTGCGGTAGTTGTCCATTTTGGCGGTTTTTTATCGGTTTCGTTGGTATTGAAGTGGGAAGGGAGTAATTCGATGTATCGAGAGTCGAAAGCTATGTTTTCACGGATTATTAGTCGATCTGAGATAAAGTAGTTGGAGATAATAGCTGTCCTTACCCAGTCCGACGTAGGCGGGGGATGGATGTAGGTGACGTGACAAGAGGAATTTCCAGGGATAGAAGACTGGAGGGTAGTATCTCTTATCTAGAGAAGAGAAAGAGTAAGCTGGTGGATTTGAATGCTCAATTCAACTTGTATATCACCAATAGATGGAGAGCTCAGGGAAGTTCGTCGTCGTGGACAGCTTGACGGCGGGTGACGATGGCGGTGCGGAGGATGTTGCCTCAGGCACCAATTTTTACATAGTTAGATAGCCAGGGGTAAGTCCGCAGTGAGTAGAGTAGTTATATGGGAGAACACAAGTGCTGTAAATATTGGGTATCATTATTCTCAGGCTATAGACGATTTATCGTCTGCATCTTCAGATTATATATGACTCGACCAGAATAAACACATAATACCTCCCGAACTGTGTGTAGTTAAACAAACCCTCAACGCCGGTCCAATCCCACGCTCAAAACCAAAAAGTAAATAAATGCAAAGAAAATGAATGTAAAAAAAAACAGAGAGACCGCCAAATGCTTCCGAGAGTATCTAATATACAAGCACAAACACAAAATCAAAAACAAGGTCGTAAAAGAGGGGCATAATATTTACAAAGCATGCATCACGCGAATGAGAGTGAGCTAGCTCAGCTACCCACCCTCATCGTCTAAGAGGTCGTAATAGTAATCGGCGGCACACTGACAGGGGTGACAGGTGCATTTGGAGTGCGCAACCCGTTCTGATCCACATCCGTCAGAGCAGTGGCTTCTTCATCCGAAGGAGTGGCAGTGCTCTCTTTTCCCGCGTCTCCACGACGAAAGACACGCTTCAAGGGTCGGAAGACAGATTTGACTCCCTTGGCAAAGAGACGAAATCCCTTGGCAAACGGCCGCAGCACAAAGCTAACACCCTTGACGGCGGCATTGAAGACAACTCCGAAATGCTTATCCGGAATGGTCCGGAGGACAACTGCCCAAGGCAAGCAGACAATGGCGCAGATAATGCACACAGCCCATTGAACACCTGTCAGGCGAGTGACGCCAAAAGCGGCACCGCCGACGAAGATAATCATGATTTGGCCGCCAACCATGATGCAGTTGATTCCGAGGAACCAGTAGTTGCGGAACATGCCTTCGAAGATGTTAAAGTTGTTGTCAAGGCGGCGGTTGTTGAACTCGTTGAAGATCTGCATCCATACGAAGGTGTTGAACACGATCGTGGCGAGCTCGGTGTCTCCGTTTTCGGCGCTGAGCTGGCTTCCGAGAAGGTGGTTGCCGGCGAAGTAGAGCATGAAGGTGATGGCTAATTGGTAGACTGCCTGGCCCAGGATCATCTTCCACATCGTCAAGGTGAAGAGAGAGGCGTGCTTGGGGGCAGGCTTTCGGTTGAGAATCTTTTCCGTAGGCGCATCGGTAGCCAGAGCGAGAGCAGCGAAAGTGTCCATGATCAAATTGACCCAGAGCAGCTGCACTGCGTTCAAGACACTCTGATTGCTGCTGCTGTAAAGCGACGAAACGAAAGTCAAAAGGACAGCGGTGATGTTGACGGTGATTTGGAACTGGAGGAACTTCGCAACGGCGTCGTTGACAGCTCTTCCCCAAGCAATCGCAGTAACGATAGACTTGAAGTTGTCGTCAAGGAGGATAATAGAACTAGCCTCCTTGGCAACTTCCGTACCGGCAATGCCCATGGAGAAGCCCACATCGGCAGTCTTGAGCGCAGGACCATCATTGGTGCCATCACCAGTCACAGCCACAGTCTCGCCAAGCTTCTTCAGATGAGCCACCAAGATACGTTTGTCTTCCGGTGAGGAGCGAGCCAAGACCTGGAGGTTCGGGATCACCTCGTCCATTTCCTTGTCGGACAACAGACGAAACTTGGGACCTTCCATAGCAAGCCCATCATCCGTCTTGATACCACAAGATGTTGCAATTGCCGTAGCCGTTGCGATGTTGTCACCAGTAACCATCTTCACCTGCACACCAGCAGCATTACACTGCTGAATAGCGCCGGGGACTTCGGGCCGCAGAGGATCCTGGATACCAACAACGCCAATCCACGTCATATCACGGAAAACGTCTTCGAACTTGGCAGATGACGGGTCATCTTCCAAGAGCTCGGCGTTCTTAGGTGGCCAGCTAGATAAATCGCGGTAAACCAGTCCAATCGTTCGGAGGGAGTTGCCTGCATACGATTCGATGGTGTTGAGCATGTTCTGGCGGTCATTGTCGGAAAACTGGTCGTTGACGATGCGGTTCTGGGAGTTCAAGTCCGTCGTCTTCTTCGAGCACGAGCCAGCCATGATTTCGGCAGCACCCTTGACAAGAAGACGGTAACCGACACTGGGTTCGCGGTAAACCACACCCATGCACTTGCGGGCGGAGTCGAAGGGAATCAATTGGACGATTTCCGAAGAGGCACGCTCAGTAGCCAATTCCATACCCAGATGGTCCTTGGCCAGCTGCAGCAATGCCACCTCAGTTTTGCTTCCAATGAATTCCTTGGACCCATCCTTGTCCTCTTCAAACGCAGTAGAGTTAAGCGCAATGCTCTTGGTGATCAAATCACGCATGGCTGTCGAAAACTGCTTGAACACGGCAGACACGGACACGGCAGTATCGTCCTCCGAGCTCTGACCGAAACTCTGGTTAGAGCCCCAGGTGCCAGCAACCACGGTCATCTTGTTCTGCGTCAGGGTTCCTGTCTTGTCGGAGCAAATCACGGTTGCATTGCCCATGGTTTCACAGGCACGAAGGACACGGACAAGGTTGTTTTCCTTGACCATCCGTGTTGTGGCGAATGCAAGGGCAAGTGTAACGGCCAAGGGAAGACCCTCTGTGAAACGTCAGCAAACTGTCCATACAGAAGAGGGATTAGAGAGTACTCACCAGGAATTGCAACGACAATGACGGTAACAGCCACAATGAGAATGTCAACAAACTGCTTTCCCTTAACAGCAGGAGTGGCAGGGTTTCCGGAAAGCTGAACAAGAAACCTAATAAGCAGCGCTACAAACAGGATGATGGCCGCGCCTGAGCCCAGCCAACCAATCCAGTTCGCCAGTCTGCCCAACTTCACCTGTAAAGGAGTAGGATCGTTCGACTCCTGCAACGACAGCATAATACGGCCATAAGTCGAGTTGGGCCCGACACTCGTAACCAAGTAGGTTCCGACGCCTTCCAAGACCTTACCTCCCGAAATCAGGAAAGGGTCAAGTTTCTTTGTAGCTTTTCCGTCCATAATCTGATGCCAGACTTCATGTCCACCGGTCTTCTTCATCTGGTCCGATTCACCAGTGGCAGAAGACTCGTCACACTTGATTCCATGGCCGGAGATGAGGATGCCATCAGCGGGGACTGCGTCACCAGGCTCCAGGTGAAGAACGTCGCCGACCGTAATGTCGAAGATCGAAATCATAACATCCTTGCCAGAGCGGACAGCCTTGACTTCACGATCGTTGTTCCGCTTGCTTAGCTTGACAAACTGTCTCTCCTTCTGCCAGTCGTTGGCAGCAGTGACGATGGTGACAATCAAGATGGCCACACAGATAGCAACACCTTCGATCCAGTCGACACCATGTCCGGCGTCAATCGTCTCGTAGATACCCAGAGAAAGCGACACAATAGCAGCGATAGTCAGAAGAATGATGATCTTGTCGTTGTAGGCGATCCAGAGCAATTTCAGGATACCAGTCGACTTTCTTGCCGGCAGTCTGTTCCAGTTGAACACTCGTACACGGTCCTGGAATTGCGATGCATCGGAAGAATTGTCGTCTGGGATCGGGACCTTCTTGTCTGATGTTGATTGAGATGTCGCTTCCTCGAAACCAATAGTACCCTCCAACCGGGCCTCATCCACCGACAATCCCGACGTAAGATCCGTGCGTAGACCCCGTTCCAACCCACGCAAACCACCAAGAGCCTGAAAAGCAGCCAGCGACTTGGGGTTCAACAATTTATTCAGCTGACCGGGGGTAAAAGCGAACTTGTTGTCATCCACGTGAAAATCCTGCTCATTTCGAGGATCCGGATTCAGGGCTTCGGATACTGGTACATCGTCGTATTCTGCTTTCGATTTTGGTTGCTCCTGGGGCACCTGAGTGGCTGAGGAACCAGCCCTGGATCGTCCAACGGTGTCAGCATATGAGTTGAACGAGCCAGATCGGGAACGCAGGGTTTCCCCGTCCAACGAGTGTGATGTCCGCGGCGGTGCATTGTGAACTGTTAATCGAGCGGTATCAGGTGATAGGGTTGGTTGTGGCTGGCTTATGCCGAGACTTGGTGATGTGGGCGATAACGATGATGGGGACGGCTATCAGATGTCAGCACAGCACTATACTATCATATCAATGCGGAATCAAGCACATACCTCACTGTCCTCTGGAATCATTATTGAAGGGTTGAGGAGCTCGTCCCGGCGGTTAGTATTTGGAGTCGTCATGAATGCGACCGATAAACTCTCGACTTAATCGACAAAGTCAAGAAAGTTCATTAGAATTATGACAATAATGATAATATAGACTGACAGAGATTTCCTAGTTAGTGACAAGGGACTGGGGGTTCGTTTATATGAGAAAAAGTCCTTTAAGTACAGATACGGAGCATCCCTCTCTGTGTACCGGGGCAGTGCACGTCTGGGCGAGCGCGCCTGTGCTTTATTTCCATTACCCTTTTCTCATCCATTTTTATTTTTTTTATTTTTTTTATTCCAATATCCCAACAAAATATCAGTCATAATCCATTGCCACAGGTTGTTTAACCTCTAGAAAGAAGAGAATCGACGAGGCCTTGCTATACAAGCATACCCGATGGCAAACACAACTGCCACGATAGTAGTACCCAACACACGACGCGGCGAGCAGACCCCGTAACAAACTCCGAAAACGAGAACGAGACCACGTACTCTGCACTAGGAAGCCAAGTCCAATGAATGGAATGATCATTTCTCATTTCTCATTTCCGTAGATCAACATTGAGTACACAGCCTCAACGACTAGCTCGGAGCAGCCAACCAGATCCACGCGCCGGGAAACCTTCATCTCCTGAGTCGTCGGTTTTGCTTGGTCACTTATTCTGGACTCTTTTCAAATCAGGCTTGGATAAATTGTTCATGACGAAACGAGCCATTTCCGTTACATGGTAGAATGGGCATCGCATTGTGTTGACAGGCTGGGGTTTCCCACTTGTAACCGCCGGCCGGGGAAGCCAACCCCTGGGTCCGTCTCAGCTTCATTAGTGTTTGTATCTGTCGGTATGATGTTGCAATGCAGTGCAGAATACAACACGCGCGCGCGATATCCACCGCGATTCAATCAGAAACCGGAACACTCTTCATTGGTCATTACATTTGGCTCATCATCACTCATACTCATCCTTTGGGCATTGCTATGCTATTGCTCCGTGGCCTCCGTCGTACTCCCATCACAGCCGCCTTAGACAGGCAGATAGATTGAGCAATAGTTCTGGAATTGGCCACGCGGCAAGTGATGACGGCTGAGTGTGATGGATAAGATGATGCTGACTGACTATCGAGTGGCCACTGGTGATGAGAGATAGATCCATCTGGAATGGTAAGGTGCCGAGAAGCTAAACCGCTTTTGGAAATTGTGGCTTGTATGTCATAAATGTGACTTATGAGCAATGGGCAATTGTGGCGCTAGGTGTGGCTGAAGAAACTCCTTAACCGTGGATATATGTATGTGTGTGGCGGTGCATTGTGGCTAATGACTGTGGCTGGTAAATATCAGCTGACTTTTCCGAAGAAACGAAGCGAGGGGCTTAGCTGGAAGGAAGTTAACTCAAGCAGAGCCTCAGGGATGGCGTGGGATTGTGGAACAGTACGAACTCAGTTGCGTGGTGCAAGAGAGCCTCACGAGGCATGGAGTGAGGGAGAAGAAAAAGGAAGCTGAGAAGAAAAGAAAATTGAATGGTGTTGGGCAGGCAGCATCATTTATGCACACTACTATGTTCAGATGTTTAGTTTGTACTGTCATTACTGTGTATGATACGTGCTTTACAGAATATTTCTTTGGTAAATCATGTATCAGTCATAACATTACATATCCTAAAATACAAAGCCCTTCAGCCTCGTCCTTCAGTAGTGAAGTCCGTATAGCCTCATAACAACCTCAAATAAGCTACAGATCTACATCCAACCCTGCATACCGATTTCCCAACCCACAGAAACAATCCCTCTCCATATTCCCCTCCCCCTCCGCCTCATCCCCCCCAAACCCAAACATATCCTCCATCCCCCAAGCCACCCGTTCAGCCCCCAATCTCGCCCCCTCCAAATTCGGCGCCCCCGGTCCCAATCGCAGAGCCGCCAATCGTCCAGTCATGAATAATGGCAGATTAGGCTGCCACATCAGATCATCCGTGATGCATGGTAGGCCCTGCTTGCATTCGATTGGGTAGTCGCGATGCATGTTTTGCAGCATGGGGTGCTCCGTGATGTCTAAGCCCATGCCCGTGGCGAGATAGATGTAGTCTATTGGTGGGAGGTCGATGGGGGGATCTGTGGTGAGAGACCAGGTTTGGGTGATGGGGTCGTATTGGCGGTCGATGATGGCGGTGCGGGTGTGGATGGAGCAGCGGTTGCGGGAAGCGTGGTGTTTGGTGATTTTTTGGTAGCGGGGGGTTATGCTGCCGCCGTTGCGGGCGATTTTGATTTTGTCAAGGCGTTCTGGTCGTCGGTTAGTTTACTGCTCTTGCTGGTGATGTGATGTAGGGCTACCTACCCTCGTCCGTATCCGCGGACCAAAACGCTGCTTTCTCATAGTTCTTGAACTTGCCCATCCAACTCAGTCCAATATCAAAGTGCTTCACTTTGAAATCCGACCTCATCAAGAACCAAACTTTACTAACCCCCTTCCTAATAGCCATATCCACAATCTGCGCTGACGACAACCCACCCCCAACAACGACGATATTCGTCTGTCGTTTCTGCTGAATCTTATGTCTCACGTTGGGGCTAGGAAACTCTTTAATCTCCGTGCTGTGGCAGCATCCCTGCTTCTCTTCGTCAGAGGGCTGGAAGGGGAAGATCTTGGTTCGGCCAGGTCCGATGGCCATCACCACAGCACGAGCGTAGAATGTGTCGCCGGTGGTGGTCGTCACAGTGAAGATCTTCTCTTCTGTGGGAAAATCAGGATGCGCATCGTATTTGATATCTGCGACTTCGCGGTGGAGGATTGTACCGGGGTGGTTGAGGCCGTAGCGGGAGACGATGGACGAGCAGTAATCTTCGAAGAGGCCGGTAGATGGCGAGAAGTAGTCTTTCCGATCTCGTTCATCGATTTCAACCTGGCTTATCGTTCTGTTCAAGTCAGTCCCTCAAACCCATATTACAAAGTACAGCGGGGAACGCACTGCTTCGACTTCTGCTGCTTCTTCTTCTTCTGATGCTTGCTCAACTCCTTCCCCACACACCCCGAAATCTCCCAGAGGTCCTTCTCCCTTCCCGTCTCCTGCGTATACGCAAGCATCCCATCCCGATCCCCGGGATCAACATGGAAGAACATCGGACTCCGAAGCTGCTGGATCTCCAACGTCCGGAACGCCCGATTCCACTTCTCCATCCATTGATCCCCAGTACTATCCAGGACCTTGATCGATAATCTTTTATCTGTTTCACCAGTTTCTTCAAACGACCTTCCCTTCTCAGCAGCCAATATCGAAGCCACCGACTCGGGAGACGTAGACAACGACGGCGGCTCATCATCCTCATCCGAAGCAGACGAACCAGCAGACGAGTACGAAGCATCACTAGACGACGTACTCACTCTCGCCCTCCCTCTTGTCCCGCCAGTACTATAACTCTTATTATCCGACTGTCCACCATTCCACTTCTCGGCCCTAACACCTTTAATCCCCTTATGCCGCGCCTGCACCAGCGCCATCCGTCCACTATGCTTGCTAATCCAGTGGTAGCGCTGGTGTTCTTCGTCCGTGAACATGGCCGAGGGCGTTTCTTCGTGGAGGCGTGCGGCGACGGCGAGGCCGCAGGGGCCGGCACCGATGATGAGGACGTCGAGGAGGTCGGGGAAGGATGTCATTTCGTATGGTGTATCGTGATGTTATATTGTATGCGTTTGAGAAGTGGTTAAAGGTATTTAGTTTGGGGTGTAGGCATGCTTTATATGGCTATCTACTGAGGTACTCGTGCCGGGGTGATCGCAAGGTCCTTGTGGATTGGAATCGAATGTGTTCATTGTTGGGGGACCTTGAGGGTTGTATAGATGGGGTGTTAGTGTGTAATAGGATTGCTTGTTAATGTCGATCAATTACTTGAGTGATACTATGAAGCAATAATAAGTTCAATTCCGTGTCTAATTCCATGACACGAGTTTATGTGCAGCATGCCCTACTGCCCTACATTTTTGCTGTACATGTTTAGATACAGATCATTAGAAGAAATTTTAGATACAACAAAGGAAATATTATTTAACGAGCGAATCTATTTATGCCACCTTTTAACTCTCACACCCTCCTCCCCATTACTATCACTAGCCGCCCTCCCCCTCCCCCTCGACGACACTCCACCCCCCTCCCGTCTATGCCACGGATCCTCCGGCCACACCCACCCCCTAACTCTCTTCGCATCTCTCGTCTCCCCAGCATGCACCTTCGGAATCCACTTATCCCTGCCCTCTGACAGAACCTTCTGCCGGGTAAGCGCGCCTGGTCCGCCGACGTTGACGTGCGGTGACGGCTGTGAGGGCAGCGGCGTGTCCTTTGAGAGCATGAGGAGGAAGTAGAGTGCTAGGGTTGTTGTTAGAGGGACATCGAGGGTTTGTGGATTTGTATTTGCAGTGTAGTATGGGTGTGTTGTGCGGTCAGGGACGGGCGAGTGGCTGCTGCTGCGGCTGCGGGTGGACGAGGTTGAGGATGAGAGGCCGTCTGTGCCGGTGCTTGATAGGGCGGGGGAGTGGAATCGGGTATCATCGTCAGAGGTTTTGGTTGGGACGGGCGGGGAGATTTCGAGGAAGCCGAAGTATGGGACTGCTTCGGCGTCGCCGTTGTCGCAGCCTGCGCGTACGCAGACTAGTTCTATTTCGGTCATGATGAACCCGTACCGGCATCCGTGCTCGCGCATGCATCTCTGTAGATGCGCAAGACCGTTAAGGTACTCGACCCGTCTTGGTTCAGCTTCCTTGCGCATCCCCGTGTTCCACCGGTCAAAGCTTCTAACTATCCCGACGAGTCGACCCCGAGGTAGACCTGAGCTTGTCTGGTCCGTGTCGGTGGAGTAGTTGGCGAGGAAGTGCGGTCCGCCGTAGTTCTTGTTGACTGAAGTGCGCACTCCGGGTGCTGCGTAAAGCCGCAAGTGGTTGTGGCCTTGGGATACAGCCAGCGCTGCATTGACACGTGGTGCGTAGATGTCGTTTACCAAACCGATTAAGGTGGTTTCGCATTCAGGTGCGAGACGTGATGAATGGACCATAGTCGGCGGGGTGAGGTATGACGGAATTTCCGTCGTTAGGAGTTTTGTCAGACAATCGATTGAGTCGAATGTGGAGGGTTGGAATGATATCCAGCTGCGTAGGTTGCGGATGTCCCACCAGAAGTAATCGTGCATTCCTCTAGTTGGCACGACGTTGACGTTTCGCACCAGCTTGATTGCCTGTGTAGGTGCCGTCAGGTACGACAGCATTGTTGTTGTTGACTCTTGCACTTCCTCAGGGCGATAGACAGAGCCAGCGGGGTAGGGATGGATATTCTGGGTGTGTGGATGTTGGTAATAGTACTGCGGCGTCTTCGATGCCGCCACAGGTGGCTGTTGGTGAGTGTATTCCGCCGTCGAGCGCTGCTGCAAGTACGGTGGATGCACAACAATATTCGGAGTCGCTGGTGTAGACGGAACAATGTACCTGGGCAGCTGTCGGTATGTTGGATAACCGTATCGTTCCAGCATCGCCTCACGGTTCCTCGATTCAGATACATGCCGAGAGTGACCCTCAGGCGAAGAGGATGCCTTGCGCTTGTTCGAGGATGTGATGCTCACTGGCGACAACAGAGCCACGCCATTGCCTGAGCTGTACCCCGGAGCAGCCGGAGATGCGAGATAAGCGCTCCGCTGAGCCCCTGAGCTCTCATGAACGTACGGCAAGGGAGCTGGTGAATTCCGTGTGTTGCGACGTTGACGCTGCGATCCAGCTAGAGGAGCTGGCTCAACCACGACATCCTGAGGCCGGATCTTAGGGAGAAGTGCTGGTCCGTGATGAAGCTTCCGGGGTGGTGAGCCGCCAGGGCTAGTTGCAGATGTCGTCGCAGACCAAGGGGACGAAGCATCGGTGGAGTACACGGAGGAGTCTGAAGCATGTCGACTATGGGCCGCGCTCAATGGGACGCCCGGGGGTGTTGTCGGACGGCAGTAGGCGTATTGAACAGACATATTGGCAGCGGTTTGAAAAGTATGAATGTTCAGGTGCAGTGATAGGAAGTACCAGCTTCCTGTGGTGTCTCAGGACCTGTCAGTGCAGAAAGAAATTAAACAATAAAACAAGCAGCCAGTCTTGTATAAAATAGAACAGGGCTCTCAGAGCCAAACAATGGCCAGTGCGATTAATTGGACTGATTCAGAAATCAAACTGCCAGATACCAGAGGACATCGCTTGGATATAAATGCTCCTCCTCAAGAAGCCTTGATGCGCTCAGCGAGCAAGACTCAACAGAAAAAGGAACGAATTCAACGTATCGCCAGGCACAGAACCCTGGAAAACATGAAACACACGAAATCCCTCCATCGTGACGCCCATAACCTCGATCCCCATATCTCTGGCGTCTTCGACGTCCAATATAGGTAAGAGAAACCCATACTAGGTAAACCGCGAACAGTCAATATGCCAGAATGCAGTAGACAGAACCTCCACATCCCGGCGCAAATCGTTTCATGTTACAGTCGCGCGTCAAGTTGCTGCTATTTTTTTGCATCTGCTGCGTTTCTGCAGCATTCTAGCAGCAATATGCAGCGATTGTTAATAGACATTGTTCGTCATGAAGCGCTATATTCGGTAACAATTGATGTGCTATTCTTGGAGAAATGTCCCTAATTTAGGGACACAAAGCCGGCGTCACGCCTCTGATCTTCATCAGCCGGCGGCAAGATTGAAATGTAATGGACGATAATATTTCCTTAAGTGTCTGCTTGTGGCAGGAGAGAAGGGTTCATCTCTCTTAGCGCCGACGTCGAATGGCCGGTGCGTCAGGAACCGCTGTTCAGAGCACAGCAGAAGAAAACAATGCAGCCGCAGGAACCGGTACTGTAGATGCGAGTGTTTCGAAAATCATCCTGGTTTTTCTTAAAATACACCAAATATCGCAATATGAGAGGTGGTTTGGTTTACGCGCCGGAGATGCAGCGCCGGCGTCAAGCTCGCTGAGTGGTCGATGCGTGCAAAAAAAGAACTTATGGGTCAGTCTCATTAATATTATTAATTGGTTTCTTTTTTCATAATGAACTAATTAGTTAGATCTGCTCGTTGCAAGATGCACGCTTTAAACGAGAGTTGAGAGAATGGTGGATGGAGAAGAGGTGCAGTTACATATTACTCTACGGGTAACAATGAAATGTCGTAGCAATAGCTTGATTAATGTATTATGGACAGCAAGACAGAATCCTAAACTGCTCATAAACCCGGAATATCCCAGCGCCGTATCTAACAGTATCCTTTCTCCTTCTGGTATAAAACAATGCCAAATTCTCATCAACACTCCATTCTGCGACATTTGAAAAGTTCATGTCCCAAGAAACAAATTCGTAAAAACAGTATAATTCAAAACAAATATTAGGAGGGGAATCATAGAAAACAATTTATGCCTTGATATCGTACTTCCGGCGGAACATGTCGTCCACCTCAGTCAGGTAGTAGGAGCCAGAGACAATGGTCTCAGGGTTGCCCGAGGGCTTGAAATTCTTGGCCAAGTGAGCGTGCTCACGCAGGAGGCACATGTCATCGTAAGCCTGAGGGGGCAGGACGTGGCGGCTGTTCAGGCGGTTGTGGAGGTCAAGCTTCTCAGCCATGTACTTCACATCACCGACAACCTTGGCGCTGAACATCGAGCTAGCAAGACCGCTACCGTACGAGAAGAAACCAATGCGCGTGGCCTGGCTGGGGTCGAAAGACACGTTGGAGATCAAGCTGGCAAGACCGCCATAGACGGTAGCAGTGTACATGTTACCGCAAAGAGTGGCAACATCCAGAGCGGGACGCACGCGTTCAGCGAAGGTCTTCTTGGTCAGACCCATGAAGGTCTTCTCGATGTTCTTATCGGCAAAAGTCTTCTCGTATTCGACGTCACGCAGCTCAGGAGCGACCTCAGCGAAGGCGGGGTGAGAGGGGTTTGCCACGTAGTCGTTGTAGAGCATACGGCCATAAGACTTCTGGACCAACTTGCAGGTGGGGGCGTGGTAGCAGATGTAGTCGAAACGGTCGAGAGGGGTCTTCGAGTCGTCCTGCTCAACGCCATTGGTGCCATTGGCGGCCTTGAGGGTCTTCTCGCGAGCGTTGTAGGCCTTGTAGCAGGCATCGACGGCCTCAGTGTAGCACTTGAGGGAGAAGTGACCATCAACGACGGGGTACTCGCTGGCCAAGTCGGGCTTGAAGAAGTCGTAGGCGTGAGTGAGATAGCTAGCACGGAGACCGGGCTCGAAGACAATGGGGGCGTCAGGGCCAATCAACATGGCCACACAACCGGCACCACCGGTAGGACGGGCAGCACCCTTGGCGTACAGGGCAATGTCACCGCAGACAACAGCAGCATCGCGACCATCCCAGGCGGAGGACTCGATCCAGTTGATGCTGTTGAAGACAGCGTTGGTACCACCGTAGCAGGCGTTGACGTTGTCGACACCCTCAATGTTTGTGTTTCCGTGAGGAGCAAAGAGCTGCATCAGGACGGACTTGACGGACTTGGACTTGTCGAGGAGGGTCTCGGTACCGACCTCGAGACGACCGACGGAGTTGGGGTCGATTTCGTACTTGCGCAGGAGGGAGGAGAGGGTGGTGAGGGAGATGGAGTAGATGTCTAGTCACAATATTGTCAGTATGCTGCCATTACTAGCCATTGAGAATGTAAACACACACCTTCACGGTCATCACAGAAGCTCATCTTGGTCTGGCCGAGACCAATGGTGTACTTTCCCTCACTAACGCCATCGTGCTTCTCCAGCTCAGCCTGGTCGACGCACTGTGAAGAAATTAGTATGAATTTGACCTTATTCCTGTATTAAAAAGCATACCTGACGAGGGAAGTAGACCTCAATGGCCTTGATACCGATGTTCTGGGGGCGGGCGGACATGGTGGCGGTAGTAAATAGAGTAAATAGAAGGAGGAATTGGGTAGTATGTATTAGTTATGTGGGATATGTGGGAGAGAAGTGAAGAGAATAGAGAGAGAAGAAAAAGAAAATATTTTGAGGGACAAGCGAAATATAAAAGGAGACCAGCTGTTGTCTTTGAAATTTTTTTGGAGGACACTCGACGGAGCACCAGATATGTAATACCAGCGAAATCACCACGGATCGAAAGCGCTTTTCGAGGAGGACAGCAGCCTCTTTATATCTCTAGCCTATTTGTTATTGCGAATCCAACTGTTCTTCCCCCATTTCCCCCCTCCCCCCCCTGAAATTCGCATCCACACCGACTATGCTCACTATACTCTGATATACGCCGCAGAACGCATCCCGACGGACAATGTTGAGTTGGAGTTTTGTTGGCCTTTTTCGGTGCCGTTCCACACGCTAACCTCCTCCATACGGTCTTCGTACTAGCCATGGTTGATATCGGGTTAATCTCATAAAGAAGAGAAGAGAAAAGATGTATACTGCTACTGCGTACAGTGAGGAGTGAGTGCAGAGAGGGACGAAATCCATATCAATCTTATCAGTGGATCCATCCAGCAGGTACGGAGGTACGGAGAACGTATGATCACCAGTTTTCCTGGCTCGCGGCTTCTCCCGTCATGTTGCGCATGTCTCTCTGCCTGTTTAGGATGTCTGGATCATTTCTGGGTTCTTGTCAGGCTGTCTAATCGCCTCCGGATCCACCATATTGTCCCCGAGTCTACGGAGTCGGTCGAGTCTTCTATATCGAGTACTCCTGTCCGGAATCTACCTATATAGAAGCACTTAAGATGCTACTGTCCATCCCACATTCTCTGGGTCCATTCTATCAATTGGATCCAGGAAATATGCATCCTTCGATCCGAGTCAATCCTGGATATACATCAGAATCCATTCTCTTTATCCTCAAACCTATCATGAACAGACTCCACCTTCACAGGCTCCGGTTCCCCTCTTTCTCTTTCCCACAGACTCGAAAGTTGTTCAGGTATCGTACAAGGGCCAGCAGCAATGTTGCAAATAATTATTTCCAATACAGGCTCATTGAAGGTGTGGAAAGACTAGAAGGATATCACGCTGGAGGCTACCATCCAGTGAAAATTGGTGACTGCCTCCATAACCACTACCATATATACACAAGCTGGGCTTTGGCGCATACTCAACAATATGGCTGGCGAGAGACGAGCGAGCTGGCGGGTATGTTGCCATCAAGACCTTGACTGCCGATAGCAGCAGACAGGAAAATGATATACTACGCCAACTGGATTCTGGGGGATTCTCCAGCGTACATCCTGGAAAGGCCCATGCCCCTTCAATTCTAGACGAATTTGCGGTTAAAGAGCCCAATGGTGAACATTAATGCCTTGTAGCTGCACCTGCGTTTATGAGTCTGTTTGATGCTTCGTCTCCCCAAAGCAATTGATAATTATTCAACAGACCAATTCTATACCAAGTACAACGAGCCATATTACGAGTCTATTGAGCGTCTTGACAATCAGCCTCTCCTTACTGGGGGTTCGATGCGCGTTCGCAGTGGTTCAATGAGGATGGTACACGGATGAACCCCTAGGGCCCAGGCAGTGCATGGAGTGAGCGTTTTGAGAGTTGTCTACAGAAGCCGCGACGGAGGGACAAGATAGAGAAGGTTAGGGACGGGGAGAGAGATGCTTTGGTTGCGATGTTACGGGCGATGCTGGTCTTTCGTCCTGAGGAGCGGTTGACTGCCGAGGAAGTGATGGGATCTAGATGGATGAGAGATTGGGCGGTCCCCGGGCTTGAAAAGATGAGGGAGCAATAATAGTATTAGATCTCGAAAGATTTTCCAGTAGTTCTAGACCGAGATGGTGATATTCAATGATATACAGCCTTGTCCATCCGTGGTTTATAGATCAACCTGACCGGAGAGCACGGAGTATCGACATCGCGCTATAACAGCCACCTTGAATAAAACAACATATTCCACAGAAGAAGAGAACAGAATGCTACGAGAGCCTCTAACAGCCACAATACCCCTGGTACATGTCACCCCAGTTGGCCGTTTCTGTCACTTGGCGGTGGGTCTGCGCCACGCGGTGTTCTGGGGAACTGAACAGGAGGCATCCAGTTTCCGTCCTCACCTCCTCCAACTGTTCAACTATCATCCTTCTTTTCTACCCCCTCTCTCTAAATATCTGGATTATCGCTCGCTCGAGCATGGTCGCCCAGACTGTCACTCCTTTTCTCTCGATCAGATCATGATCCCGTTTAGTTCAGCGTCCGTGACTCTGTCCAGCTTCCTTTGCTGCTCCCCGGAGCCCCCGACTTCCGTCCACCATGGGCGATAAGAAATTCAATTACCAAGCTCTCCCCATTCCTTCCTACGATGAGGCCATCGGCAACCGCCCCGGTTCTTCGCGGTCACACCCGGATCGAAGCGAGGCTAGCGACGATGCTGAACGAGAAGGCCTACTGCACCAGCACGACAATAACAATGACGATGCAAACGTAACCCGGGATAACAATGGGAACCCCCCGCCTCCTCGATCGTTTCCGCGTGGATACCACCCGCCCACCGTCGAATCCGCCCGGAACAGTTTGGATGATCTCGACTCCGCCGCTTCAGGTTCCGATAGGGGGTCGTTGGAGGAACTACAGCGGGAATTGGATCAGATGGATGTGGAGGATGGCGGGCAACAATCATCTTCGTCGCAGCGAGCCTCGCGGTTACGGAATCGATTTGCGAAACCGTTTAGTACTCTGACGCGAAAGCTTTCTGCGATCCATCTCCCTTTGCGCCGGTTATTACCGAACTTCCGCTGGACGATCGATCTCAACGAAGCGAGGACGAGGTTTCAGGGACAGGGATGTATTGTCATGTTGCGGTTATTTGGGCTGCTGCTGGTGGTTTCTATGGTCTACATCTTTTTCATTTCCGACATCTTCAGCATGAATACGCGATTTATCATTGGTCAGTCGTTTAGCTCGTCGTCAATCGAGAACTTCATCCAGGGCCAAGTCAACGAAACCAACATCGCTGAGAATCTGAGGAAAATGACAAACTATCCACACATGGCCGGTACAGAGGGAAGCTTCGTGCTGGCAGAGTGGATCGAGCAGGAGTTCCGCAGCGCAGGTTTCGATGAGGTCGAGAGGGAGGAATTCCAGGTCTATCTGAACTACCCCCAGCAGGATGGTCGCCGGGTGGCCATTGTCGACCCGCCCGATCTGGCCTGGGAAGCGACGCTTGAAGAAGACGATCGCGAGGTACCCGTGTTTCATGGGCATTCCAAGAGCGGAAACGTGACAGGCCACCTCATCTACGCAAACTACGGATCGCGCGAAGACTTCAAGCTGCTCGCCGATAAGGGCGTCTCAGTGGAAGGCTCTATTGCACTGGTTCGCTACTATGGTTCCGAGACGGACCGGGCGTTGAAGGTCAAAGCGGCGGAACTTGCCGGTGCAGCTGGCTGTATCATCTACTCTGACCCGTCGGAAGATGGATTCGTTCGAGGTCCTGCCTATCCTAACGGAAGGTTCATGCCGGCCGACGGAGTGCAGAGAGGCGCCGTGAGCTTGATGTCGTGGGTGGTGGGTGATGTACTCACGCCTGGATTTCCCTCACTTGCTGGGGAGAAAGGAAGACTCAAGCCAGAAGAGAGTTCTGGGTTGGTTGGTATCCCGAGCATTCCTATTGCTTCGCGCGACGCGCAACGGTTATTGCAGGTCCTCAAAGGCCACGGCTCCAAGGTACCACCAAAATGGGTTGGCGGAGTCCCCGATGTACCGCAGTGGTGGACGGGTGACAAGAATTCGCCCAGCATCAACCTGATGAACATGCAGGATGAAGTAGAAAAACAACCCATCTACAACATTATCGGGCGAATTACCGGCCTTGAACAGCCCAAGAAGAAAATCATCGTTGGCAACCACCGGGACTCTTGGTGCTTAGGTAGCTCCGACCCGGGCAGTGGCACAGCGGTAATGCTCGAAGTTGCCCGTATCTTTGGAGAACTGCTTAGCTTTGGCTGGCGTCCGCTGCGAACGATTGAATTCGCCAGCTGGGACGGAGAAGAATACAACCTCATCGGCTCGACAGAACACGTCGAGAAAGACATCAAAGAAATCCGCGAAAATGCATTCGCCTATCTCAATGTTGACACAGGCGTGAGTGGTTCAGATTTCTATGCCTCTGCTTCACCTGTCTTCCAGCGCGTTATGCTGCAAATTCTCAACCGTATCTCAGACCCTTTCGCCAACAAAACGCTAAAGGAAATATGGGAAGAAAAGCAAAAAAAACTGGCTGGCCTAGGTGCAGGAAGCGACTACGTAGCCTTCCAGGACCTAGCCGGAACATCCAGTATCGACTTTGGTTTCACCGGCGAGAAATACCCCTACCACAGCTGCTACGAGAACTTCGACTGGATGGAACGATTCGGAGACCCAAGTTTCCAGTACCACAAGGTCCTGGGCCAGTTCTGGGGGTTACTGCTCGTCCAGCTTGCTGATAGCCCTGTCCTCCCATTCGACCTGGAGGCGTATGCCAGCAACCTCAAAGGATATGTCACGGGGTTGGAAGAGTACGCCAAATCAAAGGAGGTCCCTATTGCCAACGGTGGCAACACTGCCCGCGACGCAACAGTCAACCTCGAGCCATTGTACGACGCAGCCACGAAATTCCAACAAGACTCACAACAATTCCAGCAGTGGTCCGACGCATGGCACGACGCCGTCTGGGGCTCAGGCGGATACGAGAACAATGTCCTGGGAATCCAACGAATGGTGCATAATGCGCGTATGGCAACTTTCGAAAGTAATCTTCTCGATCTCAGAGAGGGTGGTGGAGTACGTTTCCCCCCCAAATATCCCCTCATGAAAGAATTGTTTCTAACAAGTACAGATCCCCAACCGCACACAATTCAAGCACGTCCTCTTCGGACCTCAGCTGTGGTCGGGGTACGATGAGGCTTATTTCCCGGCTATTCGCGATGTCATTGATAACACGCGCAACTGGACACAGACCCAGGAGTGGGTTGATCGGATCGCCGGTATTATCGTTGATGCGAGCGATAGTCTGTTCCATAAACCATAGCCTCGACCTTCTTTTCTCGCTGAATCAACCGTTTTCTCCGCCACCTTCTCTCTCCTTTCCTTCCCTCCTATCAGAAATCCATCCGACCCCTTCTCCTCTTGACTCGAATCTATCTTGTACAAAGACTCCTCCATCCTCCATCCTCTATCCTCTATTCCCATTTCTCTTTCGCGCCCTGAAACTTGCATCATTTTTCACTTTTCACCTTTCTTGTACACCCTAATTTGGTCTACATCTGGTCTGGTGTCTGGGATTCTTTTGACTTACACATGCACCACTCCGTTTCTTCATTTTTTTCATATATTTCATTATTTTCATCGTTCTAGGGATTACGGTAGGTACATGGTTCATTTTCTGGTTGCGATTTACTCGACTAGACTTGATTTAACCTGGTTTTATCAACATGTAACAGTAACATAACATACATACATACATACATGTATAACTAGGTGCCTCGATTTCTCGATTCCATATCTCGTCATAGAATTGCTAGCTAGATCGCTGTAGCTAGTCTTGGGTGTATTAATCATGGAAGAATTGTTCGAGATAGACTCGGTCTTTTGCTCTTCTGTTCATTTCCCACCTGATTAAAAGAGGGATAGATTAGCCCTGCTACTCAAACCTACGGGTGCAACGCTCCAGTCACTGACGCCAGAAAAGAGTTAAATAGCTTTGCACTATGCTATGCTTCGCTGACCTGAGATTGAAACTGAATATGCCAGAGGAAAAAACAAAAAATAAATAAATAAATAAAATAAAAAAGCAACAAATCTGAGAAATGCCACACCTATAACTCCATGCCGATGACACCGATGATACATATCAAGTAGACATTATTATATACAGTAGTGTGAGAAATGCTGATAAGTAGAGAAGATGACCCATTCCCCTTTTTTAAGAAAACGGATAACCTCCCGCGTGCCAGATGAGAAGGGAAAGTAAGACAAGTTATTAAAAGGAAATATTCATGCAAGAAATGTTCCAAGTCTATCCGTGGACCCAAATCAAGAGCGCAATGTAAATGAACGAAACACAAATCTGTCGTGTAAGAGGTTCGCCGCTGGTAGCTCTGCTTATTTCTTGATGTTTTCAACGCTTAGCATTGGAGTCTCGACCAACCGGTCGCAAGGGACGCCTTCGTCCCTTCTGCGTGCAAAGAAGCTATCGTGTTCGGACACAATTAGAGCCCATTCTGCAAGCGCACGACCAACATATTTGCTAGTCACGAGCTTGTCATATGCAGCAGCCTTGGGGACTTGGTACGGGACGACAGGATCTTTCGCAGGAGGTGGAGGGGGTTGTGCATGCTCGTCTGTAGGAGACGCGTCCTGATCACCATCTTCCGTGTCGTCCTTTTCTTCCTTTTCAGTTCGCGGGACATCCTTCGATGCACCAGACTCAGATTGAGAGACTCTGGATTGGCGGAGTTGTTGTAGGTGGATTTGCGCAGCTGCTGGCAGAGAAGGAGGGAAAAGACGCCTGTTTTTTCCAGGCCAGTGGGGTCGATCCATCCATTCCAGCGAGAACTTGAAAAAGAAAGGCTGATGTACTGGCTTTGGTGGTGGAGGCTCGCTCGAAGTCGGCTGAGATTGCGGATGACCATCCAAGCACTTGTCAGTACTTAATGTGGTATCGGGGGTGTGGGTGTCCGTCTCGTCCGATTTGTTACTAGCCTGGGCATCTGAAGACTTCGAGCTGGAAGAGGAACCGAACATAGCTTTCAAGAGGTTCCATTTCTTCTTGGGAGGTGGTGGTGGATCAGGAGAAGATTCCGAAGTCGAAGAATTACTGCTGCTTTTCCTCGGCTTCGCAGCAGGCTCCGATGGGGCAGGGGGTACAACGCGATCGAAGGAGACGAATAAGTTGGCCGGTGACAGTTGATTGTCACAACGAATAATGATGATCCGACGCCCGGGAGCCGGGGTGCAGGGTGCAGACGAGAGTGGAGGAACATGTTCCTCAGTAGATTTCGTTTGAAAGGCCACATAATGTTCCCACATCCGATGCAGCTTGTTTGCCAATGCCTCATAAATGGCCCTGTACGGCATAGTTCAGTGACTGGACGCTATAAATAGAAAAAAGGGGACAAACTTACGAGTCGAGTGGCGACGGTTCCTCGTTGAATCTGGCTATCCTCCAGCAGACCAGGCGATGAAAATACGAACGAATCATCGGGCTCCAGTGGTTGAAATATTGGTAAAACCAATCATCATGCAATAAGAAGCCCAGGCAAAGGTCTGCTTTTCGCTCCTCAGATGCAGCCCATGTATTCCACATGCAGAAGAGGAACGAGAACACCTTGACCTCAGTGAGAGAATTGTTACTCTGTATCATTTGTCGACACACGTCCAGCCAAAATGGCCAATCAAGCAGTACCATCTCGACAGACTGCGAGTATTTGGTGATTATGGGAATGGCCTCCTCCATGAAGTCACACATCGTGAAGCACGCATTATGATCATACAGAGATGTTCTTCGAGCAGCCACCTTCATTATCCCGCAGAAGGACTCGGCATACAACAATCGCGCATGATTCGGCTCGACAGACGATTCCGAGAGGAAATCCCGAAGAAGGATAATGAGACGATTCTCTGCCATAGAGCGGTGACTGTTGGCACCACCTAAGGGGAGGGCCGAAACCGAAGCATCGGCACCCTCGATGAAGTCGTCAAAGGTAATGGCGGCTGCTGTATGAGAATTATCGGGAATCTGGGAAGCGGACTGCTTGTGCAGCGTGTCTTCCAGAACTACGAGCAACTGTGCATGGATTGGAAGTAAGCCCGGAGCCAGGATTCGCTTTCCCTTTTCAATCCCTCGCGGTATCGAATCCGCGTATAATATGTGTACGAATTTGACAAAGACGAAGAACAGATCCGTGTCGCGGCCGCACCATCGGGAGATCCAAGGACCGTGCCATGAAATATGGCTGGTGTTTAAAGGAGCTTCGGGCTTTTGGCGGAGATGCCGCACTAGGGAAGCATGGGAGTGGAAAGATAATGGCCGCAAGGCCGTGGGAAAGCTCAGGGCCAGATCCTGGGTAAGCAAGCGCGTGGTGCTACTTCTGTCTACACTCGACTCAGCAAATATCCGTTGGTAGATGCTAGCAGGTGTGTTCCATAAGCGGACCAGGATATCTGCCACACCTGGGCAGAAAAAGAAGGCATAGGCGCACGCCTTTCCACAGAACGCTACCAAGCTGGCGGGAGCATGTCTCATGGACATCCGTTCCACGACGAAGGCCATCTGGGACAATAGATTCTGGATGAATATGTTCCGGATGTTGTGGTGTATCGACTCAAGAAGGAAATCCGAGCCGGATGATCGCTCCGAACTGTCCGATATGGAAGTCGCGGCATGTTGTAACGACTTTGGCAGACTCTCGCTGGGATGGGATAATGGGAACGCGATCCTCCACTCCGGTCGGGTCATAACTCCCACCACAGCCTCCAGGTACACCGGTCGATCGGTACCAGAGATTGATTGGTTATGTCTGCCATTGAGCATCTCCAGCAAACCAGTCCACCATTTGTTGAGGATGTTTACTCGACGGTCCAGATCTTCGGCTCGCAAGTTCTTACAGGAATGAAGTTGGTGGCGGCTGAGAAACGGTATCAGGGAGGAACGAATGACATTGGCTTTCAAGGCGCTCGATTTGGATTGGAATCTAAACAAGGTCATCATTTAGCCTACTGTCACGTCGATGAGCAAGCCAAACAAAAAGCAATCACTCACTTTTGATAATCTGCCTCCAGTCCGCGAAAGATGCCCCATAGGTCATCCTTCTTCCGTGGAGGATCCATGCTGGTGCCGGACAGGGCTGCGGCAGTGGCGGCCGCTCCCTTTGGCATTGGTGGCAGGACCGGGGTCGAGACATTGAGAGACGCAGAGAGCTTTTCCAGGGAGCTTTTGGCCCGCAACGAATTCACTGAAGAGCTGCTTGGCGAGTCTACGCTATCGTTGCGACCATGTGTCACCACGGCCACCATTGGACGCCGTGGCCGCTTGCCTAGGAGTGTCCGCTTGCGAGAGAGTGGTTGAGTGTCTGTATCGGTGCTGGGACCTTGATCTGGGCTTGTGGGCGATTGATCCTCTGTTGGTGAGGCGCGGGATTTGGATGATTTGGTTGATTTGGTTGATTTGGTTGATTTGGTTGAAGATGGAGACGCTGGTCGAGACGGCGAGTCAGAGGCCCATGGTCTGCGCGCAAGGTTAACCAACCTTCCAGACACCGCACGGGTCTTGGAGGGCCGGGCCACGGGCTCTGGAGGCCTTGTCTCAGGCACTGTCATGAGCGTATCCTGCGAATCATGCGTTGGTGCATTCACCTGCTTTTGTTCGTCCATTGATCCTGACCTGCGCGAGCAACCCCCAGCCCTGTTTTGGGAGCGCAGGGAAGTGCGCCGCAGAATATCTTTGCCGGCGGCGACATCTTCTTTTGTCGGAGACGGGGATTGGTGGGTAGAGGTCAAGTCTGAAAACGTTCTTCGCAGTGGTGGTGAGACCGGGGTCTTAATGGCCTCAGGAAGATTCTGGTAACTAGCGGCACGAGATAAGACATTTTCCTCTTGGTTGCTCTGGTTCAACAAATCAGGAGAGGATGCCGACATGGTCGATCAATGACGACCACAGCGACTCCTAGCGGTTTGGCGCGAAGTGATGGTAGGAGAGCAGAGGTGTGTGTTCATGTCGGGGCCCCGTCAAGGGGATTTAAGAGGACGTGTTGCGCCGCAGCTGAGTATTGGCAATGGAGAGACCAGCTCCTCCATGCACAATAATATCTGCAAGAGGTCGAAATTCAGCGCACGTAGAAGAATAGCAACAGCATTTGGAAAGAGAGTCCGGTGGTAAAGAGAGTGTGGGTATTCGAGGGCTGACGGGGTATGTGTTGGCGGAGCGGGTAGACAGACTGTACGAGAAAAGAAAGGTGTAATAATTAAGAAATTGAGAGGCAACCAAGCGCGCTACTCAGGAGCGCTTTCCAAGCAAATTCGCGAGAAAAAAGAAGCTAGGCTGGCGTCTCACTCCTTTGGGGGAATCGGGTCTGTCATTCGGAATGTACGGTACGGAGTATGCGGCTGGCAGGCGGCTGGAAGAGTCAACAGACAATTCCGATGGTAGAGATTCACGGAACTCAAGGAAGAATAGCCAGTCACACCGCCGTAACTGACGGCAGCTGACGGCAGCTGACGGGGGAAAATAGAAGGAAGAGGCTAGGCAGGGACGGAACTGGGGGCTTACCCTTTCCGGGAGGAGGTTCTGAATGAGTGGAGGGGAGAATATTAGGGGAGAGAAAAGGAGAAAGAGAGAGAGAGGAATTAGGAAGATTAAATAGAGGACAATGGGGTTGAATATAACAGACAAGAGAAGAAGAGAGAGAGAGAAGGATAAAGAGAAGAAAAAACAAGCAAAAGAACAGAAGAGGAAATACAGCAGAAAGAATTGAAGATTCACGAAGCTCAGCAGAAGCCGCAGAGAAGCTGATCGTCTTATGGGGTGCGGAGTTCTCTCTGTGTACAGAGATACAGCGTAGACCCTTGTTTTGTTTTGTTTCTTTTCTTCTCAGATATGACCAAAGAATGAAGGAATAAAAGAGAATAAAAATATGTCTATTTGCACTTATAAGAAAGATAACCAAGGCTGTTATTCTCTACCGACCCTTCTGGTGATGTTTCTGTAGATTACCAGGGTCCTGGTATTTACCATACCGTCACAATCGTTACCGCTGCCCTGGATCGGAAGGCCCTGCGAGGCTAAGAGGCTGACCCGTGGATAAACTGAGATCCTGCGGCCATTTTGGATCTCGGAACTAAATACCTTTTTAGAGTCTGTTTAAGCAGAGATTTTCTATACGAATACGCTAGAGTACTCTGTAGCTGTTTTACTGAGTACCAGTACAATAATAATAATGTCATGTTGATGTTGATGTTGTGTAGGTACAGTATCATACATTACGGTACAGACATGCAACAGCAACAGTTCCAGGTTCCCATATATATAACAAAAAGATCAAACATAAATAGACAGTGCTATTATTGCAGCATCAATAATAGCATAATTCTGTCATGACAGTAAGGCAATTGACCAATGCTGGCGCTTGTGGCTTCCGATACAATCGCAGTTGTTCTTTTCACTGTGAATTTTGTCTACCCGTCCAAGACAATGCCAATCTCCGGCCATTGCTGGAATACGAACAAGATCAAAGAAAAAGAATTATGGCTATGCCAAACTATCCTAACTATGAAGCCCTCGAATGGATCTACTCCGACTATTGACGGCGATCATTCTCTGTTCCATCCATTCCTTGACCAAGTAAGGTCGAACCAGCATCATGCACAATACTATGCGCAGATGCACTTACACAAAACCACTAATGTCAGTTCCATCGACCGTCAGATCAGTCATACCAGTGGTTAATTGGATTCTCAGGATCTCCGGAATGGACTCTGGCCGCATACATATACAGCCAGCCACTCTTTACCCCCGGCATTCCAGTTGTTTCAAGGGAGACATATTGAACTGTTCCTATGAGGGCTTTTGCGAAGGCTACTACTCCGTACACCCGCGTACTACTCAGCCGTACGTACTTCATAATACTTGTCTGTCCATTATTCCGTTCAGGTACCGCAGTACGTAAAACAGTGTTGACGGATATTCGCTGTCGAACTCCGGACTTTACCCACGCACCATCTTGGACAGATCTCGCATTGAGATCATTCCCACGAAGTACAGAGTATAATTTTTTTCCTCAGCTAATTGAATAAATGCTTCATGGCGGTCTGGTGAGGAACGTTCTGGAGCTGTCACATTGAGCCATGGCCAGATAACGCAATTGGCTGCATTCCTCAAGAATTAGACAACTCCCCTGCCTCAGAGTTCAATCATTGACTTTCCTTGGCATAATACCTACCTGCATGAGAGTATTACTGCGTGCCCCGTACGTGCATAAGTAGAATACGAGCACGTCAGAGTTCCCGGTGCATTATTCGGTCCGGACCAGAGAGTGTTCCGTACTTGAAAGCGATGATGCGGTGGGATATTCATATGGTGTTGCCGGTACGGAGTACATAATTGGTTCTTCTCTTCGATATTGAAATAAACAACTTTTCGTCTCCCTTGATACCAATGGCTTTATCAATGTTCAAGCTCCATCCCACCCAAGTCTCCATAGGAGACACAAGGGTATTATTCCATCCAATTGAAGACAGACTGAAAAACGAAATCAATTGTTCCGTAGGTTTAATTTACACAAGTTCATTCAGGACATAATGGATGTTCATGGTCTATTCCCGTTACCCATTCGTCCTAAACGCTCTCTTTTGTCCGCGTCGAAAACGTAGTAAACCTAGTGGGCAGGAGCCTCATCCTCCTCGGGCTCAACGAACCAGTGCTCCTCAACAGGAGTAGCCTCGCCGCTAGCGGCCTGGCCCTCAACCTCAACGTCCTGGCTCTCGTAGGCCGACAGCTCGCCAGCGAGGTTGGCCTCCTCGGGGGATTGGGGAGCCTTGGGGGCGGCAAACTTGTGGACGTGGGCCTCGGCGTCACCGGGCTTGACGGGGGTGGGCTTGTAGGCCTTCAACTCGCGAAGGTAGAGCTCCTGAACGGGGTCCGCTGCAGTAAATGTTAATGCCTCCGGTGTCGGAAAAAAAACAATGGGGTTCGATATAAGAATTGGGAAAAGGGCTCAATGTCTGTAATCGAACTAGAATAGGGTCACCTACCCCGACGGACAGCGGAGTTCATGAAGCTGCGGCGAGCGACAGAAACCTGTTGCCGAGAGGCGCGGGAGAAGAGGGAGCGCTGTACCACCATTACCGTCAGCAATCCGTCCGGTCGGATTGATATAATCACCTAGGGGTAGCAGAGAACTTACCGAGGCTCTGAGAGTCTGAGACATCATTGCAGGCAGACTGGTGGTTGGAACGAGGAGACACACACTGCTGAGGGTGGGAAAGATGAAGTTCCGTCCATCCACCGACGAGGTTCAACTCTTCGGGACGCTTCGGCTTGGCACCGCCCACCGATGACTCAGCACTGCGGCTCTGCTGCCTCGTCCAGTTTCGCCTTCGGTTCTTCTCTTCTCTCTTCTCTTTATTCTTCTTTTCACCTCCGAAATACCAACCCCGCCCGTCGAAAGGAAACACCCTCGACGCCGTTACCTCGAGATCACCCCGTTCTATCGATTTAGACGGCTTCATTCGCTTCGAGGACTCAACGACTCCGATATCGCTCTCGCCCGATATCCCTCGGTGTCGCCATAGGCTTTACGTCAGGCTTTACTCGACCTCTGCTCTCTTTCGTGAGATCGACGATCGCGATCTATTACGGAGACCTTGACTGGTTTATTGCGGTTGGACGAGTTTAATCCTGACTTCTTGGGGTTTTTTCTGGGGGCTTGATTTCTTTGGGAAAAGGTGCTTTACTCAGGGGCCTGTTCGCAGAACTAGGACCCTATCCGTACTGGAAAGGTAAAGCATCAGTTGACTGGGTTCCCTTGAGAGTTCATGAGGGAGTTTTTTTGCTAACCATGGCATATTTCTCTTTTAACATGGATTTCTATCTTGGGAGCAGTCTGGCTAACAGAATCATGAGGCATAGTGCCATAAAGACGTGACTTTATTGTCTTTTCTTAGGTCTAATACGCCATCGCCGTCTTTCTACTGCGAGGACGAACAATCTAAAGGGAGTCGAATTTTGGAGGTACAGCTTCCGAAATAATCGAAAATGGCCGCCGTTTCCGCCGCCGCCGCCGCACAGCAAGACCCCAATCAATGGAAGAAGAACCTTTCGGCCCATGTCGTATGTCCTGAGTGCAAGGAAATGCCGCCCAACTTGGAGTTTCCTGACTCTCACGAGACGGTTTGCGGTTCCTGCGGACTGGTGCTCTCGGATCGAGAGGTTGACATGCACTCCGAATGGCGTACATTCTCCAATGATGATCAGAACAACGACGACCCTTCTCGTGTCGGAGACGCCACGAATCCGTTGTTGAATGGGGACCAGCTGGAAACACAAATCGCAAGCGGAGGTTCTGGCAAAATCCGCGATTTGTATCGGGCTCAGAACAAACAGTCGAGCGAGAAGGCGAACAAGGCCCTTCTCGCAGCGTACAAGGAGATTGGTGCGCTATGCGATGGTTTCAACATTCAAAAAAATGTAGCCGATACGGCCAAATACCTGTTCAAGGTCGTTGATGATGCCAAGGCCTTCAAGGGCAAATCGCAGGATGTAATTATTGCTGGATGCATTTTCATTGCCTGCCGCCAATGCAAGGTTCCTCGTACCTTCACAGAGATCTTCGCGGTTACAAAAGTAACGAGGAAAGAGATTGGACGTATCTACAAGGCTCTGGAGAAGTTCTTCACGAATCAGAACCTCGAACGGATCAACACTGTCGTGTCGAACGGTGGTGTTCCAGACCCCAACGATACCTACACTGCTACTACCTCTACCAAACCCAGTGATCTCTGCAACCGTTTCTGTAACTTGCTCGATCTTCCGTTCCAGGTCACGAGTGTGTCCTCTTCGCTCTCCGACCGCGTCACGACCATGGGTGATTTGGCCGGCCGATCTCCTCTGTCTATCGTGGCGGCGTGCATCTACATGGCTTCCTACCTGATGGGACATGGCAAGTCTGCCAAGGAAATCTCCCAGGTGGCACACGTTAGTGATGGAACAATCCGCGGTGCCTATAAGCAGCTCTACGCTGAGAGAGAGCGTCTCGTTGATCCCGATTGGGTCAAGGAGGGCAAGGGTGATTTGAAGAACCTTCCTGCCAGCTGAGGCGTGATATTTTCCCTCTCCCTCCCTCTCGCAGAATGCCTGCTCGCGTGCGTGCGTTTCTACGTTTTGTCGTCAGGCGGTTTTTTGAACCGCCTTATAAAAACAATGAAAAAATAACATCATGAAATTGTCGCTGGAGTACCATCATGCCGTCGCAGCGTCAACCCCCGTCCATGGAAAACCCCTACGACTTTGGCTTTTCCTCCCTTTGCATAAAATCTGCTAAGTGACCCAACAGTTTTCTCGCATCTGCACAGCGCCATCTAAATTGATTGATATTCCGATACTATATTTATTACCCATCACACCCATTTTCTAGCTAACTGAACACGAGTCGCTAAGTCCATTGTTTCGCATAAAAAAGAAAAACCAGAAAGAAGACAAAAAAAAAAAAAAAAAAAAACGAGGTTGGCTGATTCGTTGCAGATTTTTTACTAGCTTCTTGCATTTTTGATACACCGTCTGGCTCAGACACGTTTAGAATTGGCTTGATACTGTGTTTTACTTTTGAGCTATAATAATTCAAAAAATATAAAATATATTGAACCACCAAGAGTGGGAGAGTCGTTTATTTTGACACTAAGAATGCTAGAAGTAGACACAAACTCCAACAGGACTGACTGGATCTGACCAATCGCATACAACAGGACACATACAAGTCGTTTAAAAAAATACTTACTCCGGACTGCTAAAAATGAATGACATGGTTTCCCTCATTGGTCAATCTGGATGTCACCGTCTGACTCTCTTTTGCCATCGGCAGATGCGGCCATACTCTCAACAGTTTTCTCCAACTTCAACTCAGGGCTTGCGTTACTTGGCTTGTTGGTCTCCTGAGGCGCAATGATCTTAGGTTCAAATGCTGGGATCTCAGCGTCGGGTGTGTCAGTGATTGGGGACGTGGTCGGTGATTTGGCTGTGGTTGGGATTTCGGGTTCAGCCGACGGTTCAGGTTCAGGGACCGCGGATTCAATAGGAGATGATTCGTTCTCTTCTTGCTTGGCCACAGGCTCAATGACCGGTTCTGGCTTCTTCTCGAGTTCGGCTTCGGGTGTTTCTATCGGTTTAGGAGACGGCACCGGATCGGTTGGTTCACCAGCGACATTCTTAGACAGCTCAAGGGCCATTGGAGGGATCTCCGGCTGCGATGGCTCCGGCTCTGATTGCTCAGTCTTTGATGGCTCCAGCTTGGGTGACTCCGGTTTTGGCTCTTCCGGCTGGGTTGTCACCGGCTGTAATGGTTCTGGGGATGGCTCCGGCTCCGGCTTCTTGCTAACGTCTTGCCCACTCACGGCCAACTGACCACCTTCATCGATCTGCCAAATATTCCATACGTCCGCAATCTTGACCTCTGAGGCAGTAGGGGGCTTCGCACCCGTAGTTTCGGTTGTCGTTGCGGCTGTGGTAGGAGGAGCAGCCGCAGGAGCAGGCTTCCTCCGTGCCGGACCACGAGCTCTGCCTTTGCGAGCGTCTTGGAGCGGCTTCTTTTCTGCTGGTTCCTCTTCCTTCTTCTTCTCTGGTGGCTTTGGGGGACCGCCCTGCAGACGTGAGTTAAGATCCGTCAAGAAGCCAGCCTTCAGCGCGGCGATCTTGCTGCCACCAGGACGGGCTGGGACCGGCGGCTTCGGTTTGGCTGCGACATCCTTGGGATCCTCTTTCTTTGGCTCTTCAGGACTCTTCTTAGCTGGATGAATCGGGATTTGTGGTTTTGGTCGACCGGGTATGCTTGGTGGCTGTCGCTTTTCAGTAGGCGAAGTTCCTGGCTTGGTGGAGGGATCCACCGCAGGAGTTAATTGCGGACGCCTCGCAGGTCGAGCAGGGATGCTTGGCTTTTTAGGCACCTCTGGGCTAGTCAACTCCTCCTTAGGGCTCTCTTTAGGGGCTTCTTGAGGCATCTCGCGGGGAGCTTCTTGGGGAGCTTCTTCGGGAGCTTTCACGGTGGTCACCAATTGTTGGCTGTCAGGAGCATCTTCCCATACGTCCTTGCTGGGGAATCTCTGTTTAGAGAGACTGGGACGTTTCGTATCATTCTCCTTGTGCTCTTCCGACTCGAGGATATGCGTAGCAACTTCATGAGGGTCAACGGAGGCTGCCTGGCTTCTACGGATAGATTCCTGCTCTGGCGTTTCGAATGACTCGAGCTTTTGTGTGTCTGGCGTCGTGACGGTGGCGTGTAATTGCAAGCTGTTTGGCGAATCCTCCCAGATGTCCTGGCTTGGAAACCTATGCTTGAGCTCGGGTCGTTGCTTGAATCGTTCCGCGGTCGACACGGGCTTCTTTTCCTTGTTTTTGTCTTCTGGGAATAGAGGCTCATATTCTGCGACATCCTCCAAAGGCGTATGAGGGTCTTCCCGCTCTGAGCCACGCGAGGTCCAACGTGCCAACGCGGGCCTACCGTGATTGCTGGTGGATCTGCTGTTGGAACGACTGTGGCCAGTGCTAGGAGTCCGACTCCGGAACTCATCGAAGCTATCACCTCTCTCAAGAGTAGGAGAGACTGCCGGATGCTGGAATGCTGATTCTGGGCGCACTTCGTCGGCTGCCAGAATGGGCTCTTCTTCCTCATGTTCATCATTACCTGGTTTAACCTGTTCCTCGGGCGCGGGAGTCTGTGCAAAGCCATCGGGGTGATGACTATGGTGATATGGCTCGTCGACGTGGATCACGCCCGAATCATGCGTCGTTTCTTGCTTGCTCTCTTTCTCGGCAGTGGGGTGGCTCATCTTCCGCAAGGGTGACTCAACCACAGGACGCGCACCACGATCAGGCACCGGAGATGCCATGCGCTGAGTGTACTCGTCCGAAGCCATATAGCCGACCTCTTCTTCTGGGGTGCCTGTCACGGCAGGAGAGGTCCCTTTGAGCCCGTTAGCTGTGTCTTGAAACCAAGGGAAGATGTAGGTACTCACCCAATCCCGATCCAGTCACGGCTGAGCCACGAACGATCTTGTTCAAGTCATCACTGCTCAAGGCCCAATCTGGCTTGGGAGTACCACCCGGTGCGTGCTGACTCTGTTCTTCTTTGGCGTACTCGTCAGGGTGCTTTTGATACCAAGCTTTCTCAAACTTGTCATTGTTATGCACGCCGTGACCATGGAGACCATAGCTACCCGGGGGCAGAGAAGCTTCACGGCTACTGCGAACACGGTGTTGACTACGCCCAGGACGCTGCCCATGTTCCAGATGATGAGGTGCAGGAGATGGAGCTTGCACATCACCCGCGTTGGGATACATTGGGACTCTCTGTCCTATCTCTGGGATCCCATGCTCCTCATTATAGCGGTCTGCAGAGGCAGTGGAGGATTCCTCCCGCGAACTAATCGTTCTGGAGTGAAGCGGGCGGCCGGAACGCTCATGTTGCTCCTCAAGTCCTGGATTTTCCGCACCAATACCAGCCGCAGCCGCCTGGCGAGAGTCCGTCCGGGTGACAGCCTGTACCCTTGCAGCGGCACTGGAAGTGGGCAAAGACGGCTTCGGCGCATGAAGCTTGAGTTCGCTGTCGACATTTCGAGTCTCAGGGTCCTCCGCAGGCTTTTCAACACTCAAGTCTTCGTACTCTATACCCTCCTCGCCTAGAGATGGTATTGTCACACTGACAGGCCGTGGCACCTGGTCGTTTGAGGTCGTCCGGCTCAGACCCGAGCTACCGGGCTTCTCATTCAAAGGAGACGGAGCATAATTCTGACGTAGCGGGGACATAGAACGTTCGATAAGCTTATTCGGGCGCGGAGGAATCTTTGGACCGTCTGGTGCCGATGTGGGTGGTGGGCCCTGCGGTTGCTGCTGAGGCGTGCGTGACGGCCGCGGGGGAATGGCCGGAGGTTGTGTCGACATGATTGACCGGTAGAACGTGTGAAATTACTTCGGACTATAGTAGAAAAGGAAGAACTGGCACGGAAGTTAGTGATAAAGTCGGCAGAACTCAAGCAGCAACGCAATTGAGGCAGTTGGGGCTTCTCGGAGGGACGGTTGGCCAACACGACACCACGTTGCTGATCAGGAATCTGCCTGCAACCCTCAACCAAGGCCCAATTGGAAAAGAAAAATATCCAATTGACTCCCGAGTCCCTGATAAGACCTGGAGAGTAGCGACTCCACTATGAGGAAAGCAGGACATGGGCAGCGACAGGAGGGCCGCTACTCCGCATAGACAGCAATGGCTCTCACTCAAACCCCCTAAGATAGCACAGCTGCAATGACTCCAATGATTTTGAAATCATAGGAGTAAAGAATACAGGTAAATATAACCGATCTACTTACCAGATGGATCGAAACGAGCCTCCTTGTCTCCGAAGACAACGATAGGCGGTGTTGCAACTCCAAAGCGTCCGAAACGAGAGCAATCCAATCCGACAGAACAGCAGACAAGAGAGGCTGCTAGAAGCAGAGACACAAACACGAAAGCACCACAAAGAAAGCAAAAAAAAACAACGAAACAGAAAGAGTGGTGGTGTGGTATTATCAACAAGAGGGGGAAGAAGGAGGGAAGAGGAACAAGTAGACGGTGACGATGCCAGCAGATGATGTATGCGGTACCGCCCGTTACTTACGGGACCACTCCATCAATGTAATGCCGATACGAGTGTTGCAACTGGAGCCAATAGGGGTTATTTTCATTTCACGTTAATGCTGCATGTGGGACATGATTTGTTGTATTGTATTTACGTCGTTGGGGATCTATGTGTATTACACTATCAGTGTCATTTATGGACTACTCCTATGGGACCTATTGAATATTGTGATAGGATAGAAAAAATATATAATTGTAGACTCTGCATATTGTCAGTATTTTGCCTGCTATGCATTGGTGTCTCTGCTGCATGTGTACTTATACGAAGGAGCCAGGCATCTCTTTGTACATTGAGGCATTTCTTTCCCCTATCATGTTTTAGCACATGATCAAGAGCAAAGGACAATGTAGCAGACTCTCTGGACATATTTAGACTACAGAGTACATGTGCCTTCGCTATAGATAAGAAGAGGGGGTAGTTCTGGGCGCTGCACCAACACAGACACGTCTGAAGTATGGATACTCGGGCGCTTACATACATCTGCAAGTCGAGTAAAGGTCTGGATTTGCATAGTTCTTCCCTGGTGGGGTGGTCTAGATGACGAGGACCAGCCTCGTGAAGGCTGTAAATCAAAACTCCATTCCTGAGAATCACGCTATAATAAGCTAATACAGCAGTAACACTATAAATACATGAGTCCATCCACTGACGTAGTCAAGAACAGCAGATCCAAGTTCGTAATCGTTGCGCATAAATGCGAAGTAGAAACTTGTATCCTCTTCTTTACTCCGTTTCCTGCATTTGCGATCGTCCCTGTCAGTTCGTTCCGGCATGGAACCCGGGCTGACATAAAGAAGTTCGATCGCCCATTAAACAGGAACCTAGCATACCTGGAGAAAGAAAAAGAAAATAGCAAAAGCAAAAGCAAGTCTCCCCCGGTTGTTCCTCCACACTAGACAATCATCTGCGCGAGTCCTTGTCCACCCAAGGTCTTGCTACTGGTGAACTCTTGACTCTTCAGACCAGCAAGTGCGTAAAAGAGACCTGCTAGAAGAAGAACGACGGCGGCCGCGATCAGACTGGATGCGCCAGAGACGAGACTAATCCACTGTATGGCACTCAAGATGGCGTACATCGAAGCGCGCATCCAGTTGGTCGTGAAGCGTCGGATGAAGTCGTCGAATTTGGAGGATGTAGGGCATATTCTTAGGAGGAAAGGCACTTCGACAAAGATGAGAATAAGACCGGAAACACTGTACGCGCGTGGACGCATTAGCTTCTTAACGTCTCGTACGAGATAAGCGAAGAGTCCTGACTTACATGGCGAGGACACTGAAGATGATCCGAATCGCGTTAAACGAGAAAATGCTAGCGATGCCAGTCGCGAGGCACAGAATGATGGCTACCACGCCGGTCCTAAATATCCAAACAAGTTAGCATCGCTTATAGAATTGAGCCCAAACTTGTAGTAAAGCGATCGCTGCCAGATCCCTTGAGTGCCTGCATGGCAACCGCTGGGTAACCTCGATCGGCAAGGGCCAAGCTGCGCATCCGAAATCCAGGCAACCACCATTGATTCAATTGAAGGGTTTCGACGACGCGCAGGTTTCAAGAGGTAGAAAAGAGAAGCGAAAGGGGATGCAGAATACTGACCATTGTCCGTAGATACCTAAATAACGTAACTGTTAGCATCATACTCGCGGCAGGTGGACAAGGCGCAAGGCGATCTTACTGAAGTTTCTCGAACGGAACTCCTCCCTGAACGTCATTTTGCGAGTGCAATTTAACCAGAAGATGAGTGAGAGTTGAGTGTAAAGTGTTTCTCTGTAGCGACAAGGTTGAATCTGCGAAAAATGCGAAAGTTGCTTTGATGCGATGATGTTTGTTTCAGCAAAAGTGGATTGACTGTTTGGGAAATGGCGCCAGGTGTCGTCGATCCGTCGACCGCCCTGGCAGAATCCCCGTTCCAGACACTCGCCGATTCATTTCTATTGATATCCACCCGATGTTCTTGATTGACAGACAGTCAGGGGCTTGATTGATAACAAGGCTTTGTTTCTGTTAAAGGCACAATTCTACAACACCGTTCAACATGGCGTCCCCAGGACCTAAGCATCCCCGCAATCCCTCCAGATGTAAGATCCCGCATTGAGAGCTACAGCTATGTCATACATGAGCTTGCTGGATGCTAATGAATACAGCATCACGGCCGCGTAGCTCGACCAGAGGCCCTCTCGCCGAACCAGACGAGTAAGTAGCATTGTGCCCCCGGATAATAGAAGCCAAGCTCATAGTCCAGTCCATTGGCCGACAAAACGCTAGAAACAGATACGTCGGAATTGAAGACAGCAAGCATTGATGAACTGACTGGGGAATCGTTCTACGAGTTAGATCCTCTAGCACCGGGTGATCTACCAGAAGCATTAGCGAAAGACGCATCATTTCTCCTCCGATATGACATCTACCATTCCCTTTCGCAGGTCGACATTCCACCCGCATTACGCTCAGAATTCGTCGGCCTGACACCGGATGAACCATTGACCACGACATTAAGCACCGTTGAGAGACTATTAGTCGAAGGCCACTTCATATTAGCCGCATATCTCTGCGGGTCGATATTAACGTCATCCCTGGTCTCGCCTACAGACATTCAACTGGTGTTTGGCCTCTTCTACACACGACTAGCATGTCTAGAGCTATCCGGCCATGCAATAATTGCAGCTCAAGAATCCAAAGCCCTCGAAGACCTCACCTCTATATTCTACTACGTGGATCTCAACCACGAGGCAACATCCGATGATACCCCCGACCAGGACACTCCCAAACACCTCCGCCATATAGTCCCATGGCCATTGCGCGTCTTGGCCGTAAGACTCCAAAGCATCGGATTCGGAGACTCACGGAGAGGTATCGGCGGTCTATACGAACTTGGATTAGAAGCATGGAGGGAAATAATGCAGCCAGAGCTAAGTCGGGATGAAAAGGTGATATGGAAGGAGAGGCTAGCGGATCTGGGTGTCCGGAGTGTGAATGCGCTCGTTGAGATGGGTGATTATGATTCTGCTAAGCGGTCACTTCATAATCTGCGCACGTCTGGAAAGGCGAATGATGGGAATAGATCGAGGAAAGCGCTTTTGTTCCTTGCGATGGGTGATCTGGATGGTGCGGAGGAGGTCTTTGGCGAGTCGGATGAAAACGAGAAGGCTTTGTTCAAGCCGCTTCTTAGCATGGCGGAGGGCAATTACAAGGATGCAGTGGTTGAATGGCAGACATTACTAGAGACTCAACCCAAGAGGCCTGACGAGGCAATGATCAACCAGAACCTGGCAGTGTGCTTATTGTACACAGGGCAACTGAATGAGGTACGTTGACTTTGCCCTAGGGGGTGGATACGACTAACATTTCTAGTCCCGGACACTATTCGAATCATTAGTCTCCGCGAACCACTCTTTCAGCAGCTTGATATTTAACATGTCGACCGTCTACGAGCTTTGCTCTGATCAATCAGGACAAATGAAGGCAGGGCTTGTAGAGACTGTTGCTCGACAACCGATTTCAGGACACACCAACTTGGATCGATCTAATGCTGATTTCAAATTGTGATGCCTCGAATTGGGAAATGTACTCTATGCTAAGCTGTGCAATCTTGACGATGACATGAATTTAATGAATTGACGCTATAATCATGAATGCTACAAATAGAGTTCCTGAACGCCACCCTTAACGCCTCGTATGCAATACCCAACAACATCAAGGCTTCGCACTCTCCGTAATCGGGTCGAGCTGCTTCTCAGGCTTCCGCTTCGGCCTCTTAATAATAATCTTCTCCCCCTCCTTCTCCCAGCCAATCTTCTCAGTCTCAACCAGCCTATCCCACGTCCAATCTTTCTCCCCCGTACAACCCTCCAGAACCCAACTAGCCTCGACATTCAGATACGCACTCCCCACAGCCTTGAGCGCCTGCCTCCTAACCCGATCCCCAGCCCAATTGATCACATTCCGCATATAAGAATCTACCCCGTTCCGAACCTTCCAGAACACAAACCAATTATCCTGCAACAAAGCCGATAGAAGACGATCAACGGTTTTCGACTGGAACCCGTAGCGTCTCCGCGCACGGGCCCGCAGCTCAAATGCAGCGATCATGTTATCCTCACGACAGGCGTAGTCCAGAATGAGATACGTGATGAACTCCCTCAATTCAGACTCGGGCAGCGGATAGGACGACTTGTGTAGCGTGTCTATAAGACGGTGAAGAGAAGGGACGTATGACGGCGGGTGCTGAGCGAGGATGGCGACACGCACGGAGAACACATAGACCCTCTGCGAGAAGTCCACGGGAGTGCGGGATTCGGAGGATATAACCGCCTCTCGAAGCTTGCGGAGGGCGAGAAGGAGGTTCGACAATTCAGTAGCTGCTGACGGACTGGGACTGGGGACATTTGGTCCTTTTGCGGTGGTGGCCGGACGATTCGAGACGGGCGGGTTCCTGGTTGCGTCGGAGGAGGGACCGGTGGGGAGAGATGCCATTGCGGCATCTAGGTTCTTGTCATGGCGGGCGCAGAAGGATAGGTATCGCTCGACGATCTTGTCAAAGTATTCCTGTTGTAATTTATGATCAAGGAGTCTTCATGTTCTTCCCGGTCAGCCTACTGCCCTGCAGTACAGAGGACTATCATGCGGGACATACTTGTGATCGCCTTTGGACACAAACCCCACGGATTCTAGTGGATCTGTGCGGACTGGTTTCAAACGGTTTCCGGCCTTCTTCCCCATAGCCTTGGCCTTGCCAGCCATCATGATGAATCTCTAATCAAACCGTTGGGGATGAAGATAACGATGGAGACGGAGTGATGCTCGGAGGAAACATCGGGATCGACAGCCGCATGTTTGACATCGCATGTTTGCTCTGTTTACATCATCTATATATAATCCATACCGAGGTTCCCAACGCCCAACACTTTGCTGCGATTCTTCCAACTCTTATATTCTCCTCTACTGTCGACTAGGAACATCCACCTGACAAGATGTCACGCAAACGCAAACAAAGCACCACCCAACCAACCGCCGTCGCCGCAGAAGTCCTCTCACAACCCCCCAAAGCCCTCAAAAAACTGCTTCACTGGAATGACCTCCCAAGCTGGCAACGCGACAACCACCACATCCACACGGGCTACCGACCAGCCTCCTTCTCCTTCTTAATCTCCTTCCAATCGCTGACCTACCTGCACAATGAAACCGTCAACATCTATACCCACCTCCTGCCAGCAATCATAGCGATCCCATCCGCAATCGCCCTGCACAATGCCATCGCCCCGCGGTATGAAACAGCAACGCAAGCTGATATAATTGCGTTCAGCTGTTATTTCGCAGGCGCCGCAGCATGTCTGGGAATGTCTGCGACATATCATACGATATCCAATCACTCCCCGCTCATCGCGCGTATCGGAAACACATTTGATTACATCGGTATCGTGGGCTTGATCGTCGGTTCCTTTGTCCCCAGTATCTATTATGGCTTCTATTGCGATCCAGACCTACAGAAATTCTACTGGACCATGATCTGCACAATCGGGCTGGGTTGCATCATCATCTCGATCTTCCCTCAATTCCGCACACCGAAGTGGCGGCCGTTCCGCGCGTCTATGTTCTTGGGGATGGGATTGTCGGCTGTTTTCCCCGTGTTGCACGGGTTGCGACTATTCGGTTTTGAATTGATGAACCAGCAGATCGGGTTGGGTTGGTTGTTGATGCAGGGAGGATTGTATATCCTGGGTGCGGGGATATACGCATCGCGCGTGCCGGAGAGGTTATATCCTGGCGGGTTCGATATTCTGGGCCATTCGCACCAGATATTCCATATACTGGTTGTTTGTGCAGCGGGCGCACATTTGATGGGGTTGTTGAGGGCATTTGACTACCGGCATAGTATTGCGGGTGGTTGCATTGGGATGTAAGCAGCAGAATACATGCATTATATGGAGACCCTTGTATACAATCCTGGTACATAAAAGCAGTAATATTAGTCCATTTTGCAATAATCTGCACCTGTACTCTATAGTCCAAATCTAAATCACTGCACCCCATAGACCACCCGTTATGTGCTGCTGTATGCACTCCACATTCGGCGTTATCTAACCGAACACCTCGGCACTCCGTCGCATTCCATCTATATCAACCCCAACCTGTACCTGTACTCTACCACAACCACTTTTTATACACTACAAAAACAAAAAGCAAAATGTCCCAACGACTCACCCAACTAACTCACCAACTAAATTACCCCACTGGCCTTCTAGCCAGCAAAACCGCCATCGTCACCGGCGGCGGCCAAGGCATCGGCGCTGAGATCGCGCGCCTGTTCGCGAACGAGGGTGCTAAGGTTGTCATTGCTGATATTGATGGTGGTGCGTATCATTCCTAGCATTACAGATTGCGTCTGCAGATGCTAATGGAGTACGTGTAGGGAAGGCAAATGCAACCGCAGAAGCTATCACCGCGAACGGCGGAAAGGCCATTGCGGTTGTTGGGGATATACTCGATGACGGGTATATCCAGGGATTAGTGAAGAAGGCGGCGGAGTTTGGGGATGGCAAGGTTCATGTTATTGTGAATAATGCGGGGTTTACGTGGGATGGGGTTATTCATAAGGTACCCTTTCCCCCCTTCTAACTATCTAGCTATGGTACGTGGTGATAGTATGGAGATGCTAATGGGATGGCAGATGACCGACAAACAATGGGAAACGATGCTAGCAATCCACAACACAGCCCCATTTAAGCTCGTCCGTGCCGCGGCCCCATACTTCCGGGTCAAAGACGGCGAGGACCGTGTTATCGTGAATATCAGCAGCACCAGTGGGATCCACGGGAATGCGTACGTCTACCCAACCACTAACCCAACACCTTACAAGCAAACACTTTACTAACAAGAAATGTACTACGTGCAGAGGCCAAGCAAACTACGCCGTCGCCAAAGCCGGCACCGTAGGCCTTACCAAAACCATCGCCAAGGAATGGGGCCCCGCATTCAACGTGCGCTCCAACACCGTCGCCTTCGGTTTCGTCAAGACCCGTCTCACAGCCGCCAAAGAAGACGGCGCGTACGTGACCACGCCTGATGGGACGAAGGTTGCGCTGGGGATCCCGGGGAAGCAGCTACAGAACCGTCAAGGAGGAGCGAATGGAAGGAAAGGAGAGGATGAGTATCCGGATATTCCGCTGCGGCGGCCTGCTAGTCCCGAGGAGGCGGCGAGGGCTGTGTTGGCGGTTGCTAGTCCGTTGTTTTCGTATGTGAGTGGTGAGACGATTCGGGTTACGGGGGGAAGGAATACGTAGGTTGGTTGCAATAGTTGCATTGCATTTGCTTTGTTAGCAATATCAATAGTTATTATTACTCCAGTACAGAGGGGCAGAGGGGTTGTGTGTTTCGGGTGCTTCGAATTAATTGCACGATATTCAAGCGAGTCAGCTGCCGCAGTCATCTGTGTCGGATCTAGACTGGAGAGAATAATGATGTCTGGACACGGGGCCATTGCAAAGAAGCGCCCGATCTGATGCCCAACCCCGGCTGTTTAATTAACAGGGTACCCTCGACTCGAGTGCGTGTTGATAACAACGGCAATTGGTGGCCTTTCATGGTCAGCTGCCTCACCCAGCATGTATATGTATATGTATGTATGTGTTGATGGGTGTATGCGCATGCATCTATTAACAGTAGTAGAAGTGTAATGTTGTATGTTGTATGGACAATCAATCGTATGTATGTCGTACTCTGTACAGTAAGTATAGTACCGTAGGTGTGAATATCGTTTCTCATCAACTGGACCGTGTTCAAACACTTCTCTCGCGCCTTATCACTGACCAAAGAACAGCCACATGTTGCAGATCTCGAAGAAATTCGAGTCAGAACACTCCAACCCAAGGTATCGTATCATCAACCCAAAACAAACCGCGCCAAACCGTAATATCGACAAGAATAGATAAAGAGAAAAGAAAAGCAAAAATGGTATATGCAAAATGTTCCATCTTTGCCCGGGGTATTTTTCTTTTTTCGCCTTTGAGCATAAAAAAAGCACCGGGTCATTCCAAGTCAACCAACGTCACATATATGTACCACAAAAAGAAGTAAAATGGTAAAAAAAAAAAAAAACCAAACCAAACCATCATGACATCCTGTACAATACCACCATAAACCAAAAAATCAAGGCAACCTCCCAAAATTGAAATAGAAACCACAAAGATGACATATTAAAAAAATTCCGACTGCGGATGCGGCGCCAACAGAAACCGAGGGTCCAGAATGCGGGTCGAATGTGTCCAGAATTGCAACCGGTATGTGGCCAAAAA